TAAAGCCTTAATGACTTGTAACTGATTGTGATCTGAATATTGATTGCTTCCTCTCTGCTAGCCTAGCATGGCCTGAGGATGGTGTTAAGGATAATTTTCTCTTTACATGGAGACATTTTTACATTACACTCACAGGCATATCATGAAGCAGCACATTTAGGTTGGTGTGTTGAACTGACATGTTTCTGGGGTTACTAACAAGGCATTTTTCACATCCTTACAAAAATCATTTCAACCGAGATGATAACCTTTGTATTTTCATGCCACTGTCACCATTGTCTCTAGTTCAGCAAAATCTTCTTCTTTTTTGTTGTACAGTTATATGAGATATTGAAACATTTTTAGCCCACCATCATCTGATGGTGGGCTATTCAAATCACCCTGCATCCGTGGTCCGTCATCCGTCCGTCGTCCGTCCGTAAACAATTCTTGTTATCGGTATTTCTCAAGAAGTACCAGAGGGATCTTTCTCAAATTTTATATGCAGGTTCCCCTTGGTCCTTAGCTGTGCAGGGAAACTTTTAGAGACTGATCGGATAAACAACATGGCCGACAGCCAGCCATCTTGGATTTTGATAGTGAAAGTTTGTTTTGCTATTTCTCGGGAAGTACGGGAGGGATCTTTCTCAAATTTTAAATGTAGGTTCCCCTTGATGCCTCGTTGGGTATGTAATATTTTGAGACTGATCATAAAAACAAAATGGATTAAAAGAAGAACTAAACAGATCTTTCTCATATTGCAATGATCGATTCTATTTCTTTCACATTAAGTACTGTACTAGTAAATATGTGAAATGACAAACTCACTTTGAAGGTTGGCTTTCATTCACATCAGTATTAAGTTTAGATCAAAAGTTACCTCAAGGTGCATTTACTGTTAACATGACTCGATCAAACAGATTAGAGGAAAGAAGAGAAAAGATCGGCTGACAAAGAACTAATGAAGATGGTACAAAGGTGGGCGCCAAGATCCCTCTGGGATCTCTTGTTTAATCAACAGATTGAATATCGTACCTATGACATATTTTGAATATTGCTTTCTATGATTGCCTTATGTATTACCAATTTGATGTATTACACGCAGTAAAATGTCTCCAATGTAGAATCATAAAACAAAGGAAAATGGAAACTCGTTATTGCTATGTATCGTAAATGAAAGAAGGTCAATGGTTTATATTTGTAAAAAAAAAAAAAAATGTTACTAGGCCCCATCTGTACTGCAGGAGGAGACTAGGTTTGCACTCTGTCCTTTAATTCTGTGCGTCACTATGTCCTAGGCATATCCTTTTGTTGCTTACAATTACCAAATTTAGAGTGTTGGTATTTTCCAACATACCCCGCTTTCTGGATCACTCAAATGCATATAGATGTGTGATCATGTCTTACAACTAATAATTAATGGAATCCACTCCAAGATTGACTGTTGAATAATTAAGTGTGCCGTCAGTGGGAGAGCTATAATAGATTATGTAGTGATACCTATAGAAGGTAACCTGTCCTTCATCTCAGGACGTAAAACCAGAGGTAAAACCACTGCGTAGGTGACCCGACTCTTACTTTTGATTACTCATTGGAAATTCCTCATAGTCCTCCAGCAAAGTACGCACATTGATTGAGCGATGTTCTGATGATGAGATTGATGACGATAAGTCTGAAGACCAAATAATGAAAAGACCAAGTGATTCAGTTTCACTCAAGCAACTTACTAATTGGCCAGTGACTGTAACATTGGAAATCTCGCTCCACAGAAAAAACACTGGAAGCTAGTCAGTGACTGTTACAATTCCATCACTCTTTCAAAGTATAAGCGTGTTGTCTTTATATGAAAACAACGTGCATTGCCTTTGCCCCTAACCTGCTGTCAGTCTTAGCATATATATCAATATTCTCAAAGATAGTTGAGAAACATGGATGATTTATTAGCACCTCGAGACTTCTGGTTTTCTTCAAATCAAAGACAAGAGAATCAAGTCATCCTGTTAGTTATAGATACACACAACTAAAATCGTCTTTCGTGCATAAACAAGTTAAATCTGACTAACATACACAAATATATATTTTTTATTAAAAAAACACAAATATAATGAAATCATTCAACATACACAATTGGATTGTTCAAGAGATACAATTTAAAAAAGAAATAACATTTTATGCTGTTTATGATTGCAAAATGTAATTTGATCAAGATGCTTAAAAAGAAAAGAAAATCAATGTAAAAAATAGCTATAAAACACTGAACAAGTGTATTGGTTTATTAAATGCCTCACTGAAAAAGTTAAAATTGCACAACACATAAAGAGAGAATTACAATTATGCTTGAATTATACAATCTATAACCATATATTACTCTTCTAATTGGTAGTTTAGTAAGAACAGCCTTAGATAAAATCACTGAATTTCCGGTTGCATTACAAAATAATGATTGTTTGAATTCTAGCAATTTTTTCATTGGAATGCCAGCCCTTGCATTTAGGTCTCTCATGGAGTATAGCCTCATAGGTTGGTAAAAGATCTCGAAGATAATGTGGGAAAATGTTACATCATTTAAACTGACTAATTTAAAATTGATTTTAAAAGGATGGTTTTAATTTGATTTAAATTGGTCCATAGGCTGTGTCTCTCTGTATCAGAGATAGATCTGGGTACAATCTAGGTACATGTATTGGCTTGTAAACTGCCACCTCTCTGTCCCCCTCTTGCCATCAACACGGGCGTTCATCACTAGTAACGGCTCAATCTTTATCGTCATGAAAAGTGTGCGCCGTTTCTAAGCGACAATAATTGAAGCCCAGCCTCCATCTAAGCAAACATACCGCCTCGGAATTTCGTACCTTTGGAACATTTTGAAAAACAGAGGAAATCCTTTACTGTCTCTTTGTTGTCAAACTGCTGTAATCAAGTGCTTGTGTGGAGTTTGCTCGCTGTAATGGCAGAAGCATTACATGTGCACTTTGGTGGGTAGTAAGTTGGGTAGGATCAGTGTAAGAGTGCATACACTGTTAGTTCAAAACTCACTTAACCCTTAATTACAGTAACTACTTTCCGATGTATTTTTCCGTATTATATGGTGCATGCCAGCATCACGATTGGTTGGGATACTCCCCTGCCTGATACAGTCTTTAAGTCCTGGTATCGTCAGTCGGAACATCCTATTGTGCCCTAAGCACCCTCCGAATTGCAGACACAGTAGAAAGTACAAACCGACAAGGGAATATACACACAGTCCTATGGTGATCGATACCAATGAAATTAGGGCTGCAGAAGTAGGGACACATGATCAGGGAGCTGTAGCTGGTCACTGATGTGGTGCAGCGCCACTGCGTGTACTACACTATCTGATGTCTTACATATCCGTTCTGAAAATAGCATCCTTTTTACAATAAATAGGGTTTGTTTAATAAATATACATTTTCATCTCTGAAAGCAGATATCTTTCTATTGAAATTGAAATGTTGTATTTAAAAAGTTTGTTGGAAACTGGATATTTTTTTCAATATTTTTTTCATTCATGTGGAGTCTATTTTGTTTGTTGAGTAGAGTAATTTCGTTTTGATATTGAATTTCTGGTGTGTTGATTACACTTTACCACTTTGGTGTGATTTGGGTCGGATAGTCTGGGTTATTAGATGCGGATGGCATGCTGTAGCTGTCCAGAGCCTGCCCCGGCACCAGTCGACCCTGCCACCCATACTGTGAGGTGCAAAATGATTATGAAGCAGGCCTCAGTCGACTGGGGGCCTCACATTGTGCGCCCAATTATTGGCGTTGTGCGGAAGGAGTTGCCACCAATCTGATCCCAGATAGACAACAATCTGTCTGGTATCCCAACCCTTGGTGGTAAACAACCCACAAGACAATCATGACCAAATCATTTACAATTCCCTAGTGTTAATTCTAGGGGTCAAAAGGTCACAAAATGTGATTCTACATTGTCTCGGTCAACATATCGCTAAAATCTTACTTTTATGTGCATACTTGCTGTGGTAGATATAAGTTACCATTCTCACACTACATGTTATGATGGGATAATGAATTGGCCTGCTATATCAAGCTTTATGTGGGGTCTGTGCAAAATCAACGGCTCTGTTGTCTATTTTCTATATAGATGACAATTTGCTGAGACCAAAAGCACAAAGAAAAAAGACCGAAACATACATTAATTTTGCAGTGTTCTGAAATTTGTCTTTCTTGGTACAATGTTTATTGTTTTAAGATGCTAATTGATTTATGCTTTCACCAAGTGAAAGGAAACATTCAAAGAATCTCCACATTTCTTATCTAAATTGTAACTTACCTAGTTATACTAGAAAACTTTTTCAACTACTAAAAGTCACATGTCAAAATGCCATTTTCCCTGTGCATTAATGCAAGATAATGTTTAGGTATTTTAACTCATCGTAGATAAAGGATTTCTTCAGTGCTACCTTTATTGTCTTGTCTTTGCTTGACTCAAATAAAATGGGGTAAAAATAACGATATTTGGTCCGAGGCTCATACTGCAGAACATTGAGAAACAATGTAACGTGAGGTAAACTGTTAGACCTTCGTAGCATTTAAATGTAATTTACATGTATAGTTTAGGGCTGCAATAATATATCCTACGGCGATTTTACGGCGATAAATCGCAATATTTTGAATAAGGTGTGTTACATCATATTTTGTGGGAGGTCACGACACACCTACAATAATCTCCGGAATTTGTTGTTTCTGAATTTAGTCAATTATAACCGTTCCAACATGGCGAGTGTCAGCTCCGGCTCGGCGTGCACGTCAAAAGACGTGAATTGTATGAAACTTTTTCAGTCATGCCCTTTTGGACCAAGTCTATTTCCAGTTGTTATATTGCCATTACAAATTTGCAACATATATTTTCGCTTTGCTTCTACTGTTACTATATGTATCGTGATACGTATCGCATGGTCATGTTAATATATCGTTGCAGCCCTTGTATAGTTATGAATATAAGATAAATGCTCTAATACATTTCATTTCATTTGCAGCATCGAGGTGAGGGCCTAGATATGAACGTACAGAGTGCTTGGGATCAGGGAGTGACGGGCAAGGGCGTTGTCGTGACGATATTAGACGATGGAATAGAGAAAGATCATCCAGATTTGGCCAGAAATTATGTAAGTCATTAATGGGGCCTTGCCAGCTGAAAGCTCGTAATTCTACTCCATCTTACCTACAGTGTAAGTAACGGTAAGATCAGTTTGACTCGTTAATAACATGAATGATAAGTTAAGACCTTCAGGTGAATGTTGAACCAGATACGCAAAGTTAAACTGAATCATGTTGCATGCAAGGAAAGTAGGAAAGCCCATGTATGTCCTTATAATGACAGCATTTATAGACCTGTTACCCAATGATAAAAGTTTTTTATTTTTTTTATCTTCATTGTTGCTAGCCAATTGAAGATGTTAGTAATTCAAATGGGGAACATTCAAGTAATTAGCTATTTCGAAGTTTTACAATTTAAAAACAAAGTGTGAATAATTGAGAAAAAAAACAAGCAGTTTTTCATCAAAGTTTTTGGGATGTGTGTGCTGACATATTAGGAATAAAACAATGTACTTAAGTTAGTGTGAGGTGATAAACAGTAAAGTACAAAGCTCTGTGAGGTGATACGCAGTAAGGTACAAAGCTCTGGGAAGTTCCCTCTAACAACACTGGACACACAAGGTTAGTGTGAGGTGATACACAGTAAGGTACAAAGCTCTGGAAAGTTCCCTCTAACACCACTGGACACATAAGGTTAGGGTGAGGTGATACACAGTTAGGTACAAAGCTCTCGGAAGTTCCCTCAAACACCACTGGACACATAAGGTTAGTGTGAGGTTATACACAGTTAGGTACAAAGCTCTCGGAAGTTCCCTCAAACACCACTGGACACATAAGGTTAGTGTGAGGTTATACACAGTTAGGTACAAAGCTCTCGGAAGTTCCCTCTAACACCACTGGACACACAAGGTTAATGTGAGGTGATACACAGTAAGAGTGTGAGGTGATACACAGTTAGGTACAAAGCTCTCGGAAGTTCCCTCTAACACCACTGGACACATAAGGTTAGTGTGAGGTGATACACAGTTAGGTACAAAGCTCTCGGAAGTTCCCTCTAACACCACTGGACACATAAGGTTAGTGTGAGGAGATACACAGTTAGGTACAAAGCTCTCGGAAGTTCCCTCTAACACCACTGGACACACAAGGTTAATGTGAGGTGATACACAGTAAGGAACACAAAGCTCTCGGAAGTTCCCTCTAACACCACTGGACACAATACACAGTAAGGTACAAAGCTCTGTGAGGTGATACACAGTAAGGTACAAAGCACTGTGAGGTGATACACAGTAAGGTACAAAGCTCTGGGTCGTTCCCTCTAACACCACTGGACACACTAGGTTAGTGTGAGGTGATACACAGTAAGGTACGAAGCTCTGGGAAGTTCCCTCTAACTCCACTGGACACACAAGGTTAGTGTGAGGTGAGACACAGTAAGGTACAAAGCTCTGTGAGGTGATAGACAGTAAGGTACAAAGCTCTGGGAAGTTCCCTCTAACACCACTGGACACACTAGGTTAGTGTGAGGTGATACACAGTAAGGTACAAAGCTTTGGGAAGTCCCCTCTAGCACCACTGGACACACAAGGTTAGTGTGAGGAGATACACAGTAAGGTACGAAGCTCTGTGAGGGGATACACAGTAAGGTACAAAGCACTGTGAGGTGATACACAGTAAGGTACAAAGCACTGTGAGGTGATACACAGTAAGGTACAAAGCTTTGGGAAGTTCCCTCTAGCACCACTGGACACACAAGGTTGGTGTGAGGTGATACACAGTAAGGTACGAAGCTCTGGGAAGTTCCCTCTAACTCCACTGGACACACAAGGTTAGTGTGAGGTGAGACACAGTAAGGTACAAAGCTCTGTGAGGTGATAGACAGTAAGGTACAAAGCTCTGGGAAGTGATACACAGGAAGGTACGAAGCTCTGGGAAGTTCCCTCTAACACCACTGGACACATAAGGTTAGTGTGAGGTGATACACAGTAAGGTACAAAGCTTTGGGAAGTTCCCTCTAGCACCACTGGACACACAAGGTTAGTGTGAGGTGATACACAGTAAGGTGCGAAGTTCTGGGAAGTTCCCTCTAACACCAAAGGACACACAAGGGTAGTGTGAGGTGATACACAGTAAGGTACAAAGCTCTGGGAAGTTCCCTCTAACACCACTGGACACACAAGGTTAGTGTGAGGTTATACACAGTAAGGTACGAAGCTCTGGGAAGTTCCCTCTAATACCAATGGACACACAAGGTTAGTGTGAGGTGATACACAGTAAGGTACGAAGCTCTGGGAAGTTCCCTCTAACACCAAAGGACACACAAGGTTAGTGTGAGGTGATACACAGTAAGGTACGAACCTCTGTGAGGTGATACACAGTAAGTTACAAAGCTCTGGGAAGTTCCCTCTAACACCCCTGGACACACAAGGTTAGTGTGAGGCGATACACAGTAAAGTACGAAGCTCTGGGAAGTTCCCTCTAATACCACTGGACACATAAGGTTAGGGTGAGGTGATACACAGTAAGGTACAAAGATCTGTGAAGTTCACTCTAACACCACTGGACACACAAGCTTCGTGTGAGGTGATACACAGTAAGGTAAAAAGCTCTGTGAGGTGATACACAGGAAGGTACAAAGCTCTGTGAGGTGATACACAGCAAGGTACGAAGCTCTGTGAGGTGATATACAGAAAGGTACAAAGCTCTGGGAAGTGATACACAGTAAGTTACAAAGCTCTGGGAAGTTCCCTCTAATACCACTGGACACACAAGGTTAGTGTAAGGTGATACACAGTAAGGTACAAAGCGCTGTGAGGAGATACACAGTAAGGTACGAAGCTCTGTGAGGTGATACACAGTAAGGTTCAAAGCTCTGTGAGGTGATACACAGTAAGGTACGGCAAGCTCTGTGAGGTGGTACACAGTAAGGTACAAAGCTCTGGGAAGTTCCCTCTAACACCACTGGACACACAAGGTTAGTGTGAGGTGATACACAGTAAGGAACAAAGCTCTGGGAAGTTCCCTCTAACACCACTGGACTTACAAAGCATCTGTTTTGGTTATTAGTTGTACTATAAGGTGTCTGGAATTCCCAACGTCAGGATCGACAGAGATAAGAATACTGTAGGCACATAGCTTGTTTACATCTTGTAGAACCCTTCCTCCATCTCTTGGAGAAATCACTCTATCTCTCAATGGATAGACAGGAACCTTACAAGAGATGGTCTTAGTTTGAGAAGGGTATTTATAGCCAAAAAGGGCACCAACTTTGGAGTAAACATTAATGTGAGCTTATGCAAGGTGATGACAGCACATAAAGTAGTGATGAGATGTAAAGCGATATTGTAGAGGAGATGGGGAGGGCCGAGGGAGAGTAAATGAGGTGTCAGTCTATCGCTATCAACACCTACAGTAGCCGGTTTGACTGGCTTGCAAATGTCAGCAAGCTGTGGCAGGGTTGAGGCTACTGACAAATCAAGCAAATGTCATAAACAAACAGTCAGTAGTAAATAGTTTGGAAATAATTCAGAAATAAGTTTATTTTGAAGTAATTCAATACCTGCCATGTAAATGTAAAATAAACAATGTTCGTGTACATTAGTGATAGATAATTATTTTGAAATTACTTTTAAATTGATTTGTTTTGGAGTTGACGACAAGACGAGAATTTCAGTTAACATAAGCCAGACATGTGAGATATGTTGAGTGAGAAAACAACTCTCCATCTCCATGTCTGATGTAGAACAACAGTAGGCTTGTGTAACAGGCTATATCTCATATATATCATGTTTGAGACAGGTGTGTATATCTTAATAGTCTGAAGTTATATTAACACATTAAATATGAAACATCTTAATATTATCTTAATACGTCTTCATATAAGCATGTTACAATGGAACACCTTTCCATTATCACATAACAATTATATACCTTTGTATTGTATTTTCACATTTACAGTGATATTTATGCATATTTACATTTTCACATTGCAATAAGATGTCTGTACATTTTCACATTACAATAAGATGTTTGTACATTTTTACATAACAATAGGATGTTTGTACATTTTCACATTGCAATAAGATGTTTGTACATTTTCACATAACAAGAAGATGTCTGTACATTTGCACATAACAATAAGATGTTTGTACATTTTCACATTGCAATAAGATGTTGGTACATTTTCACATTGCAATAAGATGTTTGTACATTTTCACATTGCAATAAGAGGTTTGTACATTTTCACATTGCAATAAGATGTTGGTACATTTTCACATTGCAATAAGATGTTTGCACATTTTCACATTGCAATAAGATGTCTGTACATTTTCACATTACAATAAGATGTTTGTACATTTTTACATAACAATAGGATGTTTGTACATTTTCACATTGCAATAAGAGGTTTGTACATTTTCACATTGCAATAAGATGTCTGTACATTTTCACATTACAATAAGATGTTTGTACATTTTCACATCACAATAAGATGTTTGTACATTTTCACATAACAATAAGATGTTTGTACATTTTCACATGACATTAATATGTCTATAATTTAATTATCATGTTACTAAACAATATTACAAAAATGTACCTTTATTTTATCAGATTACAATAATACACCTTAACATTATTGCATTACAACTTAACATTAATTGTTGCATTGCAATAGCACACCTTTAATATTATCGCATTTTGAAAGTTAACTACTGAGGGACGAATTTTCTTGCTTTCATCTAGTTTTGTTTGCTTAAATTACCATTGATTAACTTTTAATTTTGCTGTGATACGTGTCAAATTTAATTTGGCATGTTTTAAACTTGGCAGTGTTTTTGTATTAAGATAATGTGTCCCAATGCTCAGTGGCAATACCCTAACTCTCGGATTGCCTATCCGATGATTAATGTTGGAGAAATAGTTTGGAATTAAGACAGCGATAACAGTTCTTTGTACAGCACTTTATCTTATCTGTAAAATTAAACATTTATTTAAACACTTTTATATATGACACACGCCCAAATGAAATGAAAAGTCTCTACGTCTCCTAGAGGGTGGTAGTAGATTCTATAGGACTACTGTATATCTCCTATGGGGAAGAAGATCCTGTACTGCCCCTGTATGTATCTATAGGGAAGGAAGAAAGGGGACGTCTATAAGAATTCCAGGGAAAGAGAAAATAGCTCAAGGTTGTACCCTGATGACAGAAACTGATAAAGTTGATGTACTGGAACTGTTGATCAAGACAACCTGAGAAAGTTTTGGTTTTGATAGAAAGGGAGCTGGGGTCTGGTTTAAAGTTGTTAAGTTAAACGTTTGATAGAGCTGTGTTGATTAGCCTGCTACCTCACTCTGTATTGGATTTATTATAAGGTTGTAAAGCTTCTCTGGGATAAATACAATACTATAGGATTACAACATCCTCGCACATGGTCCTAATTACCTATCTTCGTCTCACAGATCTACTTTTTCAAAGAAATATTGTTCTTCCATAATTGCATAGGCATAACATGAATCTGTTAGTCAAGGTGAAACTTGACAGCACGTTTCTAAAGAATTCATTTTATAAACGTTTCAAAGATTTCTGTTATTTCTAAAGGATATCCAGAGCTAGTCTGTATGCTAGCTAATTAGCCTTGATTTGCGCAGCAAGTAATCCAGTTCAAAGACAACTGTGTCATTCATCTATTGTAGTGTAAAGGAAGTAATGAAGGTAAGGATATGCTCCCGTCCATCACTAGTGAGGATCTGTATACTCGGCCTAGGAAGACTTTTAACAGGTGTCGGTTATTAAAGTTATACATTACTGGTGGTGGAGTGGTTTTTTCTGGACAACATTCAGTAATTAGTTGAATGCTCTATTTACTGTTACGCGTATAAGTAAACTTGGTATCCAAAATTTACTTTTGAAGCTGTTGTACCTTACAGATTGTTAAGTCTCATGAGAAAGCTGTTTTGTTCCGTTTTCTGAAATCTTGAATTACCAGTTTTTATTATCTGCTGCCTTAAATAATGGAAAGATATGGGGGGGAAAGTCGTTAAAGTGTTGCCCGTTCCTCAAACCTGGCAGGATTATGTTAAGTACGTTAACTGGTATCCGTTAATCTCTCCCTTGAAATCCTTTCATTTATTTCAAATGTCAGATGTTTTTTTTACTTTGTTGGTTAGAAGGGACATGGTTTCTGTTTTTACAATGCTATGAATGTAGTATGTTGGGTGGAGTAAGCTTGTGTTGATGTGTTGACATTGATAGTAGATCTCCTCTACAGGAGCAGTAGTCATACAGAACCCTCACCCTCAGCTTGTGTACAGCATCAAGCTCATTGATTAATGCTGGTCTCGGGTATAAGGATACAAATTTGATCTCTTTGACAAGATTTGGTTTGATAAATAGGAGAAAAAGTCTAAATTTGTTTTTGCTTCCATGCCAAGAGTGGGGAGGGGGGGGGGGGGGGGGGGGGGGGGGAGCCCAATTTGTACTGCCGCATGTTTTATAATCAGGATCAAATTCTATAGAGAATGTTGAGGAGCATTTGATGCTTTTGAGATATTCCGACATGTGGGATTATATGGCTGAGTCTGTAGGTTACAAGATAATGATATGTTGATTAGGTCGTTTATCTTTAACCTTTCCTGGGTACAGATGGACGAATCTGGCATCTGGTGTACCCAGTGGTCTGCCGGCCTCATTATAGTCCTGAGAGTATTACAGAATATCAATAATATATGCATACATTCAACCTTCTACTAAACCAAACCCTGAACTATGTACAGTAGAACACAACCTTTTATAGACTTAACCCTTGACCATCCAGGTACAGACTTAAACACGACCTCTTATAGACCAAACCCTTGACCATCCATGTACAGACTTAAACACGACCTTTTATAGACCAAACCCTTGACCATCCATGTACAGACTTAAACACGACCTTTAATAGACCAAACCCTTGACCTTCCATGTACAGACTTAAACACAACCTTTAATAGACCAAACCCTTGACCATCCATGTACAGACTTAAACACGACCTTTTATAGTCCAAACTCTTGACCATCCAAGTACAGACTTAAACACGACCTTTAATAGACAAAACCCTTGACCTTCCATGTACAGATTTAAACACAACCTTTTATAGACCAAACCCTTGACGATCCATGTAGAGACTTAAACACAACCTTTTATAGACTTAACCCTTGACCATCCATGTACAGACTTAAACCCGACCTTTTATAGACCAAACCCTCGACCATCCATGTACAGACTTAAACAGAACCTTTTATAGACCAAACCCTTGACCTTCCATGGACAGACTTAAACACAACCTTTAATAGACCAACCCCTTGACCTTCCATGTACAGACTTAAACACAACGTTTAATAGACCAAACCCTTGACCTTCCATGTACAGATTTAAACACAACCTTTTATAGACAAAACCCTTGACCTTCCATGTACAGATTTAAACACAACCTTTTATAGACCAAACCCTTGACCATCCATGTACAGACTTAAACACAACCTCTTATAGACTTAACCCTTGACCATCCATGTACAGACTTAAACACAACCTTTAATAGACCAAACCCTTGACCATCCATGTACAGACTTAAACACGACGTTTTATAGACCAAATCCTTGACCATCCATGTACAGACTTACACACGACCTTTCGTAAACCAAACCCTTGACCATGAACAGTAAAGCACCACCTGTTAGACATTGACCTTATATTTTGTAATACAGGAACTCTTAAACTTAATTAACCAAAATATTTGGATCAAGGTTTACATGGCTTTTTAACTGTTATAGATTAATATTAAGATGCAGCGGTAATAGGTTTGACTTGGTATTTTTGTGGTTTTCTATTGGTGCTTTATACTTTGGCTTAGAGTTTGTTGTCACATCTATAGAGAGTAGAAACCTGTGGTACATGTTAGGCTATGTCACATCTACTGAGGGTAGAAATCTGTGGTACATGTTTAGCTATGTCACATCTACTGAGGGTAAAAATCTGTGGTACATGTTAAGCTATGTCACATCTACTGAGAGTAGAAATCTGTGGTACATGTTAAGCTATATGTCACATCTACTGAGGGTAGAAATATGTGGTACATGTTAGGCTATGTCACATCTACTGAGGGTAGAAATCTGTGGTACATGTTTAGCTATGTCACATCTACTGAGGGTAGAAATCTGTGGTACATGTTAAGCTATGTCACATCTACTGAGGGTAGAAATCTGTGGTACATGTTAGGCTATGTCACATCTACTGAGGGTAGAAATCTGTTGTACATGTTTATAGCCATTATACCTTCAGCTTTCACTTTCTTGATAGTAACATCTCTGTATCTCTTACCTACAGTGTTTACATCACAGTTGATTCAGTATTCAAGAACTTGCTTCAAATATCAAGACTCTTGTTATTTATGTCGACTGCTGATAGACAAACTTACGACAGAGAATTTTCATCAGGACAGGGTCTCCATGTAAATCTTTGCTTTGTTCATATTTTGCCCTAGTTTAATATTTTGCCCTAGTTTCATATTTTGCCCTAGTTTTATATTTTTCCCTATTTTATATTTTGCCCTAGTTTCATATCTTGCCCTAGTTTCATATTTTGCCCTAGTTTTATATTTTGCCCTAGTTTAATATTTTGCCCTAGTTTCATATTTTGCCCTAGTTTTATATTTTTCCCTATTTTATATTTTGCCCTTGTTTCATATTTTGCTCTAGTTTTATATTTTGATGACACTTTTGGTATTCTCTTGTTGTTTTCTTCAACATTGTGTAACATTTAGAGAATTAAATACACTTATAGATTTAATTTCCATCAGCATTCATCATACTTGTTGTTTTACAGGTAATATATGTATACAGAATTGACTTCTACAGTACTGTCAGAGCTTGTTATGGCTATTTGGTAGGTTTTGACTCGGGTCTGATCTTCTATAAACTGTATAGCTGCTGTGTAAGTTACAGAATGAAACTTGAACATCATAAAATCTGCATCCTGTGGTACATGTACTGGTTTTAGTACAAACTTATTTTCTGTTGACCAATAAATCTTGAAGGGAAGTTTACAAACCTTTTATTAGCCTCGACTTGGTGATGTAATAGAAGAACTACAACATCACCAAGTAATGCCATAGAAATGTAGAGCATCTGAAGTAATAAAAAGATCTGTTGAGTTATTATTAGGTAAGAGCCTAAGAAGCTATCAGATCTGGAAGAATCTGACTAATTCTCTGGTGGACATAATGTCGTCACTATTAATCAGGGAAGCTTGCTTCAGGATACAGCACCAGTATTTGTGGAAGAGAGGAAGCTTACATTGTGCATTAATTTAGTGGCTATCTTTTTACTGCAGGAGAGTTGTCACTGCAATACGGACCTAGGAACACACAGAAGTTTGGAATAGAATTAATTTTTCTGGCATCTTTGTATATGAAAATATTGAAATTTTGCAAAATTTTCTTTTTTTGTCATCACAATGTCGGCAGTGTGGGTCGGTATTAAGGTTCTTCTTTGCTTGAACCTCAGGAGGAACCATCATCTCTGACACATTTTGGAACTGCATTGTACAATTCATAAAAGTTATCAAACGGTACGAATAAATTATGCAGATCAATGTGGTCAATATCTAGATAAGACAGATTGTCACTTTTATAGTGTACAAAATAAGTTAATTTTATGCTGTGTCTCTTCTGTTGCAGGATGAACGAGCTAGCTATGATGTAAACAGCCATGACCCAGATCCACAGCCCCGATATGATTATACAAATGAAAACAGGTATGATATGCTGTGTATTAATGGTAGAAAACACCAAATCAGTGGTTATAAGAAGTGTTGTTGTCTTTTTAGGTCATCTGAGCTTTGCTCAAGTGACCTATTCCAATCACTTTCCGTCCGTCGTCCGTCGTGCGTCTTGGGTAAACTTTTTACATTATCAACTTCTTCTCAAGAACCAGTGGATGGATTTTTTTCAAACTTGGTCAGAAGCATCCTTGGTAGATGAGGCTACCAAATTGTAAAATTGGGATTCCTACCCCAACCCTAGGGGCCAGGGCGGGGCCCAAAAGGGAAAATTAGCCAATATTTCAAAAATCTTCTTCTCCAGACTCAGAGGTATAACAGTCATTTTCTCTGCATGGATGGAAAGATCATCAGGGGCTTTATTTCAATTGTAAATTTCAGGACCCCCGAGCTATCCGTTCTCCCCTGGGGGGGATAAAGTTTACTATCCCGGATGGTTTATATAGGGAAACAACATTTTTGGGTATAATTTGACAATTTTCTGTTGGAAATTATTTTTACTTGTTGAGAATTATCCTTGGAGGAGGAAGATGGTTTTAAATTGTAAAATTGGGATTCCTACCCCAACCCTAGGGGCCGGGGCAGGGCCCAAAAGGGAAAATTAGCCAATATTTCAAAAATCAAATTTGTACTCCTGCTGGTGTAGTCTCGTCAAAAATGTTTAAGCATTCTGCAATACTCGTGAAATATAACTGGTGTTCAATAAGATGACATTAGATACCTTTTATGAATTAACACAAGGTGGCCTGGTTTTACTGTAAATGATAAAACAAATCATCAAGTCTTTGATGAAGATATGCAACTTATAATGAGGAGAAGAGAAGGACTCACAGCCTCAGGGCTGTTTGTATAATCCTTGTTAAAAACAAAGGGGGGGGGGGGGGGGGTAATTGATAATGTTTGGATGGTTTGAGCTAGACAAAAAAGAGATCGGAGATGTCTGGCCTTAATTAAGCTTGGTTATTGTCAAGATGACCTTGGAGCAGGTGGAGCTATTATCTATGACTTCTGGCAAGGAGAATTGTTACTGGCGAGACTAATCTATTTCCAAGCACCATTCTGTTGCATTGTGGTTGAATTACTGGTCAGGTTTATTTTCTGGTAACAGTGTTTTATGTTAAAAGTTGTCCTGGTACCAAACACGTAGGAGATATGAATATTTTTGACTCGGAAATAATGTCACAGACACAACAAAGAAACCATTTGAAAAAATAGCTCAAAAGGATTTATGTGTTAAAAGGTATACTTAAACTATAACTGGAATAGGGTATTCACTTTTGAAAAATTCAGGCATGGAAAAAATTAAAAAAACAAATAAAAAAAAAAAAAAAAGTGCAATCTTTTGGAATCTGAATAGGTTAGAAAGCTTAGACAAACAATTAAAAATATTGGACAATGGCAGATAAAAAGCTTTGAAAAATATGAAAGGAAATATGTATATAGATAAAAGAAAACATTCAAATATAGAACATAAAACTTACAGACTGCGGCGTATAGTTACTATAGATTTACAATTAGAATGTTGAGTGGTGATGTCTATACTAGAGGTGATGGCAAGCTTTGACAGTGTCGGGTGGATATAGACACTTGACATGTATCCTATATAGACCTTATATAAATCAATATCTCCACCACCGGCATGGTCTTGAGACTGCAGCCTCCTGCATGCTACCAAACCAAGTGACAGAAGTAGGTAGTCTGTCGCTGTTTACATCTCCTTTGTAAGCCCGTCTCTCTACCTGTGCTCCATCTCCTATGTGTAACTGATATGTCTGTCATCCACATCAGGTTCCCCCAACAGATTAAGACAAGAACAAATGTTTTACTACACATTGGAACAGACAGGATCCATTCCTAATGTTTTATAAACACAACTGCAGTAAAAGTGATGTTTAAAACCTCGTTAAACATCACTCCAATAGTTTTTGCTGCGGTAAAAAAAAGAAACAGCAAAAATAATATTCTGAACCACTGATATATAAATCTCTTGGGATTGAAAATGGGGATGAATGTTTAAAGGTCATCTTAACTATATCAAATTTGGTTTCTATGTAAAATTTATGTTTTTAGAACAATGAGATATATAGGTCTTTGGTTTTTTTCCTCAAGATCCGCTCTATCATTTAAATTGACATAACAATCCTCTTCCTTATCCGTTACGTGACTAGTTGTGGAACTCATGAAGAAAGATGGCTGCTGTTCTATTGAGACAAATCACAGCTGATGATGTCGGTCTTAAAAACGATCCTGTTTGTTTTCTAATATAAAAAGTCCAACAACAGTGGGAGTAAACAAACTTATGTCTGCCTTTGACAGCACCGCAGCTCGTTAGCCAGGGAATACATGTATCTGTCGACTAAAGGAATTATAGGTGGCAGCACTTCTCTTAGCGTACTTCTATGAAAGCACTTGAAACACATTAGTCATTGACATTGTAAAACACCTACACCTTGTCCCATGGGACTAAACATCTCATTAGGGTATTATCCAGACACTGACATACAGGGTTGTATCTATTGTTATTTTCTTAATCATGCATGTCTCGTTGTTTCATTGTTATAACAATGATGATTGTCACATTACAATGTGATGACACTAGGGACCAAGGACATGCAGCTAGTCCCCTCTTTAGACTGATTATGTAGTTATGAGTTTAACGATTTATGGAAGAGCTCAATATGTAGATAAAGATAACACAGAAATAGTCATGTTCTTTTTATTACTGTGTTACCAAACACAAAATGTTTTAAGAATAATACTTTCTCTTAATATTTTACCAACTATTTTGGTGTAGAATTATCTTACATCTTGTGAACTCACAAAACTATTCCAGTAAAACACCTATACCTGAGACGAAACAGGTATCAAGGTGTTGTCCGACTATTTTACAATTATATTACCTGCTAAGTTTAATCAATGATGTAATCAAATCAATTTTATCAGGGGCTAGGATTGATTTACACATGCAAGACTTTCAGCGTCATCATCATGTAGTTTATTTTCAAAAATATTGAAATTCAAAAGTACATGTGTAGTGATCCAATACGTTTGTCTTAATGCAAGAATTAAAAAAGATTTCATAATTTTTCAGATTTTCTTAAAAATTGCATTTTTAATTGGCCACATGCATATGACACTGAATATCTGAAAATAGAACTAGCTTTTGAAGCGAGCAATAATAGCAGAAATCATATGTCTTGATTAGAGCCTATTTCAGCTCATCTTGGCAGATATTGGTTTCCCTTTGCCAGGGATTACTTGGAATTATAATGTTGTAAAACTGGCGCGAGGCACAAGGACATTTGACATTCCTTCTGTGACAGAATGTCAGGAGAATTGCTAAATAACTGTCAAATACCACTTAATAGGAGCTGTCTCACTGGTGATTCCACGTCTGCACAAAGCCAGCTCTTAACAGCTACCGGTGGCTGTGAGCATTGTCTTCGAGAATAAGACCCTACTGGAATGTACAAAGGGTGCCTTCAGAATCCTCAAAGACTGGCAACATCCTAGCATGTTATGAAACATTTTCAGATGCAGTACTGTCATTTTCAATTTATTTATCTCATCAATATTATAATGCACTTTTTCACAAAATTGAAATTTGTAATTGAAATTCAAAGTATTTTAGGGAGAACACATTTCAATACAGTGACTCTATCTCATTAACTCCCAGCTGAGTCGCTCTGTATTATCCTATCAAAGTTTACCACGGTACAAATATTTCAATACTTAGTGACAACACAGTTCAAAAAGAACAAAATCTTGTGGAATCCTAGCTTACTCCTCAAAAAACATACAAGGCTTTCAACAGTGTTTGGTACTATACAGGTGATACCCTAGGTTACATTGTTACTATACAGGTGATACACTAGTTTACATTGTTACTATACAGGTGATACCCTAGGTAACATTGTTACTTTACAGGTGATACCCTAGGTTACATTGTTACTATCCAGGTGATCCCCTAGGTTACATTGTTACTATACAGGTGATACCCATAGGTTACATTGTTATTATACAGGTGATACCCTAGGTTACATTGTTACCATACAGGTGATACCCTATGTTACATTGTTACTATACAGGTGATACCCTAGGTTACATTGTTACTAGACAGGTGATACCCTAGGTTACATTGTTACTATACGGGTGATACCCTAGGTTACATTGTTACTATACAGGAGATACCCTAGGTTACATTGTTACTATACAAGTGATATCCTAGGTTACATTGTTACTATACAGGTGATACTCTAGGTTACATTGTTACTATACAGGTGATACCCAAGGTTACATTGTTACTATACAGGTGATACCCAAGGTTACATTGTTACTATACAGGTGATACCCTATAGGTTACATTGTTACTATACAGGTCATACCCTAGGTTACATTGTTACTATACAGGTCATACCCTAGGTTACATTGTTACTATACAGGTCATACCCTAGGTTACATTGTTACTATACAGGTCATACCCTAGGTTACATTGTTACTATACAGGTGAGACCCTAGGTTACATTGTTATTATACAGGTGATCCCCTAGGTTACATTGTTATTATACAGGTGATCCCCTAGGTTACATTGTTACTATACAAGTGATACCCTAGGGTACATTGTTACTATACAAGTGATACCCTAGGGTACATTGTTACTATACAGGTGATACCCTAGGGTACATTGTTACTATACAGGTGATACCCTAGGGTACATTGTTACTATACAGGTGATACCCTAGGTAACATTGTTACTTTACAGGTGATACCCTAGGTTACATTGTTACTAAACAGGTGATCCCCTAGGTTACATTGTTACTATACAAGTGATACCCTAGGTTACATTGTTACTACACAGGTGATACCCTATAGGTTACATTGTTACTATACAGGTGATACCCAAGGTTACATTGTTACTATACAGGTGATACCCTAGGTAACATTGTTACTTTACAGGTGATACCCTAGGTTACATTGTTACCATATAGGTGATACCCTATGTTACATTGTTACTATACAGGTGATACCCTATAGGTTACATTGTTACTATACAGGTCATACCCTAGGTTACATTGTTACTATACAGGTGATCCCCTAGGTTACATTGTTACCATACAGGTGATACCCTATGTTACATTGTTACTATACAGGTGATACCCTATAGGTTACATTGTTACTATACAGGTGATACCCTATAGGTTACATTGTTACTATCCAGGCGATACCCTAGGTTACATTGTTACTATACAGGTGGTACCCTAGGTTACATTGTTACTATACAGGTGGTACCCTAGGTTACATTGTTATTTTACAGGTGATACCCTAGGTTACATTGTTACTCTACAAGTGATACCCTAGGTTACATTGTTACTATACAGGTGATACCCTAGGTTACATATCACCACAGTGAATCAGTTATTTTCAAAGATTGTCGCTCTCCAAGTGATACCCTAGGTAACACATAATTCCGAGGCAGGGGTTGTCATTTATGTTACATTCACCATGTAAGTTATTCCTAGGTTACACATTACTAAGATGATGTTTGTCGTCAATGATTCTTACTGTACATGTGATTCTTAGCTTGTGTATCACCAAGACAATGGTTGTTGTCGATAAGTATTTCTATACAAGTGTTTTCCTAGCGTACATATCACCAAGACATGGTTTTTATTGGTCTGCCAAATGAGGTTTGACTTGCGGAATTTTCTGCTGCTCTGATTCATATTTCCTGTTTTATCCTCAAATGTTGTTTTTTTATCCTGAACCTTCCCAAGCCTCCATGAGGTCGCTGGCCAAGATAACTAAGGCCAGGAGAAGTCATGATAACTAATGTAAAGGAAGATTGGAGGTGCCATGTTATTATCTGAACCAATATTGTCTGCTCAACAAAAGGGCTACAGCCAGAAGTAGGTTAGAAGTAGCATCACATTATTGTCTGTCCACTTACCCATCAGACAGTCTGCCTGGAAGGGTTTCTTTGTGTCAGGTTCAGTGTGAAGCAGTCTCCCTATCATGTAGAAAACAGCAGTATTGATGAACAAATAAATAACTCTTCAAATGTTGTGCTTCAGCTTTTATCACAGTTTGACGAACGACTGAAAAAGTGTTTTGGAAAAATGCTGATAGAACAATTCTTGGTTTCTATAGTAATGGGTTAGTTGTGGTGCTCACTCCCTGTCATAATATCTGATTGTGTTCATGCATCCTGGTCAGTGTTTTGAGAACGACTGTTGCTTGAATAGTTTTCAGGGCTATTTGGTTGACAACATTGTTCAATGTTCAGGGCTGTTCAGTTGACAGCATTGTTCAATGTTCAGAGCTGTTTGGTTGATAACAATGTTGAGTTTTCCGAGCTGTTTGGTAGGTAACAATGTTCAGTTTTCTAAGCTGTTTGGTAGGTAACAATGTTCAGTTTTCTAAGCTGTTCGGTTGGTAACAATGTTCAGTTTTCTAAGCTGTTTGGTTGGCAACAATGTTCAGTTTTCTAAGCTGTTTGGTAGGTAAAAATGTTCAGTTTTCTAAGCTGTTTGGTTGGTAACAATGTTCAGTTTTCAGGGCTGTTTGGTAGGTAACAATGTTCAGTTTTCAGGGCTGTTTGGTAGGTAACAATGTTCAGTTTTCAGGGCTGTTTGGTTGGTAACAATGTTCAGTTTTCTAAGCTGTTTGGTAGGTAACAATGTTCAGTTTTCAGGGCTGTTTGGTTGGTAACAATGTTCAGTTTTCTAAGCTGTTTGGTAGGTAACAATGTTCAGTTTTCTAAGCTGTTTGGTAGGTAACAATGTTCAGTTTTCTAAGCTGTTTGGTAGGTAACAATGTTCAGTTTTCTAAGCTGTTTGGTAGGTAACAATGTTCAGTTTTCTAAGCTGTTTGGTAGGTAACAATGTTCAGTTTTCTAAGCTGTTTGGTAGGTAACAATGTTCAGTTTTCTAAGCTGTTTGGTAGGTAACAATGTTCAGTTTTCTAAGCTGTTTGGTAGGTAACAATGTTCAGTTTTCTAAGCTTTTTGGTAGGTAACAATGTTCAGTTTTCTAAGCTTTTTGATAGGTAACAAAGTTCAGTTTTCTTAGCTGTTTGGTTGGTAACAATGTTCAGTTTTCTAAGCTGTTTAATTTACCACAATTGTTCAGGGCCAAATACCAATGTTCAAGCTGCACTCCAGTATTCAGTAGACTGTAGTGTTGTTCATAGTTTCTTGGTGAACACCCTTTTTAATAGACTAGGGTGATACTCATTGTTGTTTGATGAACACCTGATGTTCAATAGATAAGGGTAATGTTAACATGTACTTGAAATCGTTTTTGTGGTGTTTATGGTTGTTTTGGGGACAATCTTGGTCAATGGAAAAGCATAATGTTCATAGATGCTTAATGAATGAACAATGTTGGGAATGTTGTTGGCAGTTTGATTGACACCAGTGTTAAATTAAACAAGTGTAATATAGTTTTTATCTTAACAAAAATATCTACATATGATGTAATCTTCAGCTTTTGTTTTCATTTAAGAATTTTGTGTCACACCCAAAAATTCTTTTCACAGTTTTATGAAGTGGATATCAGTGACATTTTACACCCCTCAAAAGATGCTCTGTCATACAACAATTGACCTTCATGCCAAAAAATGCATAAATGCAGTTTCTTGCACAGCTTTTGACATTCTCATAGCAAGAGGCCTTAAAAGTCCTTGAAACAAATTGTATTGAGATCTGACTTCCTAATGACCTTTTCAAATATTATAATGATGACTTGTGTGTTATGTTAGCTGAAGTGGATGTTGCATTTTTCTCGTCAGACTTTGCAACGGTCAATGTCACTATCCCAAGTTCTACACTCACCCATGTATGTAGGCCGTTCATGAGATTCATTTAAGTCCGTAAATCTTAAATTTTAACTTTACATCTAACTTCCATACAACAAACCCATCACTAAAATGAAATCTATATGAAAGAAACATTTTAAAATCATCTTGAAAAATCATTACAAATTGTGCAATAATCATCGCGCACACAATTTACAATTTGAATTTAGATAACAAAAATGTCAAACATTTACATTACAGCATAGCCTAATCCACGGTTGCTATTTAGAATTCTCGGTTCCACGGTAAATTTTGAATAATTTTCAAGTTATAATCATTATTATAGCTCGGGCTTCACAGCCATGCAAGGCCAGCCTTCAAATCTAATGGAATTTCAGACTATTTTCTGCCATGCCAAGTAATTATTAGAGTTACTCACCCCACCGTTACCATTAACCAATTCACTTAGGGACTTCATAATGGAGATAAAAATAATTATAATTTCCAATTGTTATTCTTCTTAACTGTATTTCCAATAGTACTAATTACTAGATATTTTTAACATGCTCCTGTCAGGAATAAGAAATGCAGTACGGTTCAGACTGTCTTGTTCAGCCCTAACATAAACTAAGACCTGTTTGTGAAATATACCTGACGTCAGTTCTATAGTTGATGATTGTACCATTTGCATGGCACTGTACATCAGTTTGTTTGGTTTTTCGTAACTGGAATGCAATTATTTGATGTGTTAACTACAAGAGGGTGGTTGACTATGAGAAATATGATGAAGAACCAAAAGAAAACCTGCAGATTTAACCCAGAATAAAAGGGGGAGCCTGAATCAGTAAAATTTTACATAGATGATTGTTTTATAGATTGTCTGTCTAAAACGTATACAGGTCAGGTTCGAATCTTGAAACACTGACAGAATGTCCAACAATAGTTTGCATGAATTTGAATAAAAGGTAACGGTAAACAGTGAAAGGCTTGCCTGTCTGAAAGCTTATCAGGTTTTAATCTAAAATTCAGCAACAGCTGTTTAGAAATATTGATAACATGCATTTAAAAAGGAGTATACCATAGTGTTCCATGTGTTAATTTTCTTTCTTCGCTAAGATGCATTTAGCAAACAATTCAATCGAGAAATGGTTATCGGTTTCCTTTGTTAGCATTTGTTTGTTAATATTCGTATTAATTTTTTTGTTCTAATATTTTCTGTTTCACAAAGTCATTGCCATTGTTGCATTCCTATTTTGTTGCAGACGTACATTAGAGATATATTGTTAATTGTTTTATTGAAAAAGATTAATTGCAGGACAGAGTTTTTCAGAGTTGAATTTTGCAAAATATATCTGATGGCAAATGGTTAGATTTGTCCTTTTAAGGAAGAAAAGACAGTAAAACACGTAGTGATTTCCTTTGCAATCTCCTCAAACCCGACATAGAGTACATATATGCACATCATTGTTATAAGTTGTATTCTTCTCTCTATTTTCTAGGCACGGAACTCGATGCGCGGGAGAAGTGGCTGCTCACGCTAATAACAACATCTGTAGTGTTGGAGTGGCCTACGAAGCCAGTATTGGTGGTAAGAATTGTACATGTAATGTTGGAGTGGCATTTCACGCAATCTGTGTTTTCTTTTACTTCATCAAACTATATAGCAAATACTAGTTGTTTGCAGCCAAACAATTCATTGTTACTGGGTGGCATTCAATGCCAGTATTTTCCAAGAGTGGAATTTAGTGCCAGTATTGTCCAAGAGTGGCATTTACTGCCAGTATTGTCCGAGAGTGGAATTTAGTGCCAGTATTGTCCGAGAGTGAAATTTAGTGCCAGTAATGTCCAAGAGTGGAATTTAGTGCCAGTATTAACCAAGAGTGGAATTTAGTGCCAGTAATGTCCAAGAGTGGAATTTAGTGCCAGTATTAACCAAGAGTGGAATTTAGTGCCAGTATTAACCAAGAGTGGATTTTAGTGCCAGTATTGTCCATGAGCGGCACCACAGTATTGGTGGTAAGGATAGTTTACGTAATGAGTTGATTGGCATTCAATCCCTTTAGTATGGGAGTAGCATTGAAAGCAAGCATTATTGCTGTAATTGTGTATTGGTATTAGTCATCAATATTTGTGGTAAATGTGTAGAATTGTTTTAGTTTGCATCAGATCTAACCTCTCACCTATTGGTAATAAAAACTTCCAGTGGTGCCGTCTGTCTGTGGAACTTTCAGTGTAATTATTTTTGTAATACCCCAAATATAAACTTGCTAAAAAAATTGATATTTTAATTAAAATTTGCCTTCAATAGATAATCCCCTGAGAACAAGATCATTGATGTTCATTTCTTGTATACACTTTGGCTTAGTCAAAAATTAATTGCCCAGATAGACAGCATTTGTATTAGCACATTTATAACATCCTTGTCTTAATTAAATTACAAGTATGCATATTTTTATGGAGCAAATTACCTTTTCTATGTTGCACTAATGAAAAGATATTATATTCTCTGCACTTAAAGGTTTACTACAGTAAACATTGTGTGCAGTGTGTTATATTTAGAGTCGAGATAAAACTGTTATGGAACATTGGTTTACACTTGCGTATGCCATGGTAGAAAGGCATTAAGATGCGTCTGAAGATGAAGTTGCATAATACTTGATACTTTCATATTTTGTTTACCTGACAGGAGAGATAAATTTCACGAATGCTCCTATTTGTGTGTAAAAGAATATTATGTTTTAAATATGCATGGAAAATATGACAGCCTATTGCCATGTTAACACCGGGTGGTAATTGGCCCCGGAATGTGTGATAGGGGGTAATCCTTGGAGAAATCAGCAAACACATTGACTCCACAACAATTTTCCCTCTCTTCCACCAGAAAGGTGGGGAGAGGAGATAAGACAGTAAGACATTCAAATATAGCCTATGTTTAGATTTGAGATATAGCCCAAACATCAAAAGCTGGAGTTGGAGTTGTACACAACACTACAGCCGGGGTAGCCGGTTTTTGTGGTTTTACACCCAAAAAGCACCTGTCTTCGCAGAAGTAGTGCTGAGATTTATGAGGGAGGGTTTTGTACATGTTTTCCTTGTTTTTGTCTTGCCAACAAAGCACGAAGCGCCACTTGATATTTATATTGTTGCTAATTTTTAGATTAGAATAGGTCTGATTGGCATGAGAAGGACGGTTGGGTGTTGGGTGTGAGGCTAGTTGATGGAAGCGTTGGGTGATTAACTCAATGTTATATAGCTGTCCATATCTCTGCCTATCAACTCTGCTGTACCGTTCTAAGCAGTTACAAGTTTTAGTGTAAAAAATCATCACTGATAGATGCAGTTTATCTGTTGTATCGACCAGTGACCTAAATCAAAGTTTCTAAATCTGTATAGACACTGGCGGAGAGATTAACACACAAGTGGAGAAATAAAAATGATATTCATTTACATACAGAAAGTAATGGGGAAAGTACAACAGACGTGATTCATCCTCACGGTAATTCATTTGACTATGTGTAAGTAAGTCAGCAAATTGGGGATTGTTTGCACTTCTTCAGGATTATATAAAGAGTTCTGTCCCTCAATTTCAGGGGGAATGCCAGAATAATTGGATACCTGGTAACCCTCAAAAGGATTTCAAGCAGAGATTTCATTGAAAAAAAAAAAGGTGTCACAGGGCAAAAAAATCCTGTCATAGGGTGGAGATATCATTATCAAGTTTATAACAGGTTAATGATAAAAAATATTTCTGTGCTATGATTTTTTTTTAACATAAGTGTTGTGTACATGGCAAAGATCACAGGTTTAGCCTAATAAGTTGTGCCCTGTCGTTGATATAATCTCATTTGTCTAAAATAAACTCTATATTCTGTACTTTACACTAACTACAAAACAACCGTCCCATTGATAAATTGCGGGTTGATGGTCATTGAGACACTTGCAAGTAAGGTGTCTGGCGTAGGGCGAGTCCCACGGACCAGGTGATTCACCTGTAGACAGTGCTACCTGTCATAAGATGTGTAACCGAACAGGAACCGGCTGTAATTAGCCACGCCTTCGTGCCCTGGCCTTACAGCCAGGTGAAACGGGCCACTGGTACCTACCAAGGAAGACGTCACATGATACGTCTGAAGTGGGGGTCCTTGTCTTCTATTGATGTGGCTTGTCACATATTAATCAGCTACCTGTCCTGATACAGTTGGGTCTTTCACTGGGTATGTGTGTTATCTCCACGTACAAAAGCTTTGAACCTGTGTCCATGACAAGTCAACTATAGGGTATTTAGGGAGGTCTGGCTTACACAGCTATTGTCCTTTGATGAGGTGGATAATAGAATCAATCAGCCCTGTGTTACGGAGAATCCACAATCAGGGGGGGACTGCTTTTATTATGTCCAAAGTGAGACCTGAACATCAAAAACTGATTATATGGGTCTCGGACGGTGGCACAACAGTGATTAATTTATTTCTTCTCGTGTCCATTTTAAGCTGGTGGTATAATAGTGTGACATTTGAATGTAAGAATGGGATCCATAAAAAATAGATGCAAAATTACTTTATTTATTTATTTAAAATGATAAAATTGTGACTGAATCCGATGAGATTGTTAAATCAAAATAAAGACGGTGTAAGAAGTGACCATTTTTTGGTATTTTGTACGTTATTTCCGTTCTAGGTGTGCGGATGTTGGATGGTGATGTGACGGACTCAGTAGAAGCTCAATCCCTGAGTTTGAACCCTGATCACATCCACGTGTACAGCGCTAGCTGGGGCCCTGATGATGACGGGCGCACAGTTGATGGACCTGCCACCCTGGCTAGGAAAGCCTTCCACGACGGCATCAATTTGGTAACAAAACATTTCTGAAAATAAGCATTGTTTCCTGTCTCAACTTGATGATAACCATGCAAAACTTAGTTTGTGCCTAGGTAGCCTTCCAAAAATGAGTGTTCACCATGTTATTTCTATTTTAAAAATTACGTTTGTGATCACGAGACAGTAAAAACTGATTTATTTCAGTGGATCTGTTGCTCTCCATTCCATTTCTATAATGTTACCACGTTCTTACTTGCTACATTTCCACACTGTTGGTTTCTTTCATACAGGTCTTCTCCTCATTCACCTTGCACTCTGTAGCTATGTATAAGGAGAAAAGGCCTCACTTAAAGTGATTTGTATGTCTTTGAAATGTCGTACTTATGTAAATCGGTAATACGGTAAAGTTTGCTAGGATTTCAGCCCTGTCCATTGTGCAATAGCTAGGCGCCGGACAGACACTGTCAGATGTGTTGTGGACGGAATATTAACTGATCCCACTGAGGGTCTTTGTGACAGGGTTTTTGGTGCCAGTCTTAAGGCAAACCTTTCACCGGCAGCACAAGTGTAGGTCCAGTATTGGATAGTTTATAATCATTTTATACCCCTAAGTTTGATGGTTCTTAAAAAAATGCCTCAAAGTGATCCCCTTCCCATCGTTAATACCAGTTTTTTTTTTTTTTAGGGAAATATTCTATTGTCTGATATACTTTTAACCACAGACATGCAGTTGCATTTCACAGATGTTTTTCCACATATAATAGGATGATCTGCTCCTATAAATATGTATTGCTAACCAGACAAAGCATAACAGCATGAGAATAGAGTACATCACCATCAATCAGATGTACTTTATATATATAGGTCACAGACCATCAATAACATTGCGATAGTTTAAGCCGACCACGTATGTCGCCCACCCCGCAGCTTAACATTCAATTCCCCTTTTATTTGCCCAGATTGGCCAATAAATATTCCAAGTTTCTTCTTCTTAATATGTTTTGTCCTGTACAATATAAAACTAATGTCACTGGCAGTAATGTCACTTTCCTGGTGATTTTAAGTATTGTCCTTTCGTCTCATCGACCTGAAAAGGTGTTTATAGATATAGTTCTGTTTGGTCTTAGTAAAAAAAGACGGAAACAACAAACCAAGAAAAGTACAAATACTGCCGTCAGTTTAACCTGACACTTCTGTTGACTGAGGCAAGCCTGGAGCTGGAATTACCGGGAGACATTTGTGGCAGTTTAATACCAATGCTCGTAGCACATGAACAAAGCTGGGGAGCCGCTTAGATATTTAAATGGGATTGCAAATGTCTTGTAGTGGAAATGTACTGACCAGGGTTTTTGTTTTGACAGTAAAAGATTTAAAACAGCAGTTACTCCGAAGGCTTTGTTGCATGGTTACGTTTTATTACTAAGAATTTTGTTGCTTCTTTAGAATTTTCTGCAGCATTAAGTGGATTATTGCTGTGGAGGAAAACTATGTTGGTTTTAGGATAACATTGGATTGCAATCATTTTGTAATCAGGCTAGGAATTAGAGGAAATACCCTATAGGTATTCAAATATGCACTGCATTTCGGGTTGCTGAAATTGTCACAGTGTAGAAATCTAAATGGACCCAATTAAGTCTTACCAATTGCATATTTATTCTCATCATGGAAACATCAAGAAATATTTACTTATAGAAGTTTTCTGATTAATTATAAATGCAGTTTATGTATGAAAGCTCTATGCTTTTATCCCATTTCTCATGATTGGTAGAAAAGAAGAGCTGAATTTAAGTCTTGCTGCCCATTATCAGTAATGATTATCTTAGGAATTGTATGCACAGTTGATTACCGGGATATTATAGGGAATACCAGGGATTGGCGTGCCTTCCTGTAGTTCTGATCATATCACGATGTAAGGCAATAATTTCACAAAAACCACTCACGCTATTCAGGTTTTTACAATGAATGTGAATTGAAATAACATTTTGGCTAATACTCAATCACACTATTTTAAAATGTAGTATTGAGATTTGGGTAAAATTTATATTAGCTTAGATTAGCATTTCACAAGTGATATACCGATATTTCTATTAAAACAAAAAGTCGGGAACTTCAACACTGAAAGAAAAGATCGACATGATTAAACATAAAACTTTTTTAATGAATTTTGCATGAAAATGTGACTGTTTGTAATTGTATCTCTTAACTGAAAGCACTACAATGAGTTTATCTATGATACTTTCAACATATTATATCTAGTACAGTTTTCAGTGGAAAGCCGCTCGATTAAATTTCATACATGTTAATTTTGCATAATAAAATATGACGATTACTGACAGCGATGCATCCATTGAATATTTATATTTTCTGTTTGTATAGGGCCGCGGTGGACTGGGCTCCATCTTTGTGTGGGCGTCGGGTAATGGGGGGCGTGACTTCGACAGCTGTAACTGTGATGGTTATACCAACAGCATCCATACCATCTCCATCAGCAGTGCCACAGAAAACGGCAACATTCCATGGTATTCAGAGGCGTGTTCTTCCACACTCGCCACCACCTATAGCAGTGGTTCTAGTGGCGAAAAACAAATCGTAAGTTATGACAATAAGATACTAATAAATGCAATTTATTCTTTTGGAAGGTGTGTTGCATATTACAATCAGGCTACACTAACCTATATATTTTTGCTTCGTTTAATTTCGTTTAGTTTCTTCGCATTTCCATACAGGTTCATAAAAGTTGTTATGTTGAATGCATGTGTGTTACACACTATAGATACATGTCGGTCACAGTGACTTATTATTTCCCTCCACTAAACAATTAATGGATATTTGTTTCTGTAGTTATCAGTTCTTTGCTTTATCAAGCAGGTTTCTGAAATGTATAAGTGGCAGTGTGTTTTACGCCATGAACAGGTCAAGGTGACCAATGTAAGATTTAATAAACTCGAAAATGTCTGCCCCTAGTCCAAGGTAAATGAGTGTCACTGCTCCCATACAGATTACTGTCAATTTTTAAAGAAAATTATAAATAGTAATGGTGACCTTATATCCTTGACCTTGGAACTCTGAAATACAAATTCATTCAAAGTACCCTCTCTCTTACTTGACTTTTGGATGAAAGTTTGATCAAAATCCCCAGAAATGACGCTGCTGCCTTGGGATGAAACGGACATGGGAAACATGCAAAATGTATAAACATATATACGCCACTCCCTTTCCCCTTCCCAATAAAATGATGGGGGCATTAAAATGCATGGAGAAGTGTCTTAGTTTCATTTTCTCATTTCACATGTAATTTGGTATTTTTACTTTACTAAAAGATATTGTTACCTGAAGGGCTACATCTGAATGTCTCGAAAGATTTAAGATTAAATCAAGATTCACTGATAAATGATGTAATAATATAATCGTACAAATATAGTGATTTTAATCTTGATGTTTAAATTGTGTGATTGTTGATTTGCAGGTAACTACTGACCTAAGGAAGACCTGTACTGAGTCCCATACAGGCACCTCGGCTAGTGCCCCGCTAGCTGCTGGAATATGTGCCTTGGCTTTACAGGCGAAGTAAGTAATGCTGGACTTGATGGTGACATGGCTCCATATTGGAACTGGGATTTTTCAAACCTATTGCTGACAACTTTAAAAGAAAATAATATTAAACTTCAGACATAAGTCATACTTTCATGTAAGTGTCAGAATAAAGTCATCCTGCATTATTTTCGGGATTTTTTTTTCTGACAACATTAAGGAAAAGTTACAATCCAACATTTTCGAAATGATGAATTTTAGTGCAAGGAGGCCAATTCTAATGTAAGGGGGGTAACTCTAACAAATTTCCTCATGTTGCCATACATTGTATATTTCAGCCCTTCTTTAACTTGGAGAGATTTACAGCATATTGTTGTAATGACGGCCAAAAGGGGAAATCTGAGGGCAGATGATTGGACCTACAATGGAGTCAACAGAAGTGGTAGGTCATCTGGACCCAGTCCGCAGCAGTGGTTAAACATACTTCAAACAACATTACATGTGTGGTTGTTCTCGTTTGATTATTTCATTAGAGTATGAAAGTGATTCTTATATCCATTCACTTCAAGGTTTTTGTGATTTTCTGTGGTAAATGTGGTTTTCTTGACCTTATTTAAAGATATGGAATGATTATTTCGATATTACTTTATTACATATTATCAACAAACTCCAGTAATCATTGGAATTTAATTGCTTTAGCCAAATTTTGATGTAATTTATAATTTGGTGTTCATGAAGCACACTTTGCCAAAAGACCCAATTATAGTCTTTGTGTGACAATCCTTGTTCTAATTACCTTGATTGGCAGTATCTTGGTGTATAACATAAAATGAAATAAAGTATCAAGCCTGTCTACAGTACCATGTTATGAAACCCTTCCTGGCTTTATTTTCTGCAGTAAGTCATTCCTTTGGTTTTGGTTTGATGGATGCTGGTGCCATGGTGAGATTAGCCAAAAACTGGACCACAGTGCCGCCACAAAATATATGTGAAATCCGTTTACAGGAACGAAAGTAAGTGTATATCCTACCTGGGATAAACATCTAACATCTAACAGATGTAGATATAAATCAGGAAAGTGGGGTAACATATCGTACTGAAGTATTACACATCGTGGTGTATGGTCAGATCTGTATTACCTGGTAACAGTAACATAATCAGTTTGGTGCAACATATTACAGAGTTTGACTCAAAACGATCAACAGTCTGATTCTATTCAGACAAACAACTATCATGCCAAATGCATATTCACACATGCGTTTCTTGATAGTTGAGAAAATGTTGTACAGTAGCATTGGTCAGGTGAGTGATTGAATGGTAATTGAGAATGACATGAAGGAATAAAAAAGAAACTGTTCAGTTTTAATATTATATTTATAATAATTTGTCAAGAACAACAACATATTATGTTAATAACACACATTAAGAGATAGCTGACTGAGGACTGTGGAGAAGCTGGATTGAACAGGATGTTTTTTAATGGGATTTACATATAAGATCAATAACACAATGCCTGTTTCTGGAGAGAAGACAAAGTTTAGACAGGTCACTGGGTTGTTATACTTAGACTCATAAGAGGAAATGCTGGAATGACATACGAAAGCTTATGCAGAGAAAGATCCAGATTAGTCTTGGACTGATTTATACAGGTATCACTAATAGACTGAGGGTGGTTTAGACATAGATCCAGATTATTCTGGGGCTAGTTTAGAGAAAGATCACGGTTTGACTGGAGTTTATTCATTTCTATTCATTTTTACCATTCTGGAACTATATTTACAGTAGCAAAATGAGTCTCAAATTAATGGGACAAAAAGGCTATGAATAATTTGACAGGGGAAGTTACTCTAAGTCAGAAACATACCTTTTGGTTGCTTCATCTTCTATATAGAAGGGAGAATACTCCAAGTCAAAAGAAAGTCTTTTGAATGGAACTCTTCTTCAAATTAAACCCTGATGCAGTGTTACCCTCCGCCATTAGCTAAAACTTTGAGTGTTTAGATCACTTCATTAATGCTGATGCTCTTGTTGTTGATATTTTGATAACTGGTAATGCTTATCTTTAGAATGCTGCCGTATATGGTATTATAAAACTTCTAAACTTGATTTATTTCAGTCGTCCAGTTCCAGCTAACAGTAAAATTAGTGTGCCCCTTCACACAGATGGGTGTATTCGAACTGTAAATCAGGTAAAATACCTGGAGCACGTTCAGGCCAGGATCACCCTGTGTGCCATCAGGAGGGGGGAGATCTCAATATACCTCAGGTCTCCCATGGGCACACGCTCAACCCTGTTGGCACGACGACAGAGGGACGTGTCACGTGACGGGTTTAACAACTGGGCGTTCATGACCACCCACAACTGGGGCGAGTACGCCAAAGGCACCTGGACATTGGAGATCGAAAATGGCGGCAGTGCCAGTAAGTCACAAGATATATACAATGTCTGTTGTTTGAGTTCTCTGTCGGCTTTGCTTTCTCTAAGTTTCCAGTGTCTGATCTTTTAAACATTACCAATATGCAGCAATACATGTACCAAGCTTTCACAGTCTCCTATAGTTGACTGTCTCCCTTATTTCCTAGTGATTTGATTTTCGTTTGACTTTCATTTCCACTTCAGTTCTGATTTGCTTAAAAGTTTCCTTCACAATTTTACTGCTATCTTTGTACAATGCAAGCTTTTACTTGAAACTGCCTTAATGTGACACCTATCTAAAATATATCTAAACTTTAAAATCAAATCTCTAATCACAAAGTAAATGATTATCAATCACATTCCTCTTCGTTTCTGAAAAATAATATTAAAAACTGGATGACTTAGATTTATGAGTAATTCTGATCAGTTATATTAATGAATATCCACATTAAACCATTGTTTTCTTTCTGGTCCTTCAAAGACCCATTCACCCCTGAAATTTCATGATGGACTATTCCAGCCTTTGAATAAGAAGGGTTCAAATGTGTTGTCAGAGGTGAATGAGTTAATACAAGATTGAATAATGGAAAACTGTCATGAATCTCAGTTAAAGGTCAAGGTCTGTAAATCTATGTTATATAGATATATGGGTTCATGTCCTGCTCATTTGGGGAAAATCCATCATAAAATATCATAAGCTTTGGATAGCTTAAATTCTCTTCATATTTTGAAACAACCTTTTGTAAATCATTATAAAATATTCAGCAACGATTCAAGTTCATGTTCTTCTCAAGATAGAGCCATTTCCAAAATCACTTCATGTCCAGTGCTAGCTATAGTGTTCAAACACAGTTCATTTAGAAACAACCTTTCTCAAAATTACTGCATGTCCAGTGCTAGCTATAGTGTTCAAACACAGTTCATTTAGAAACAACCTTTCTCAAAATTAATGCATGTCCCTGACTGTAATAGATCAGGGTTCCAAGCCAGCTGACACTGTTAACAGACATGGTATTAAGTTCTCCTGTACTTGTTCCCAAATCATTAGCAGACTAGCATTTAATTTGTAGTAGAACCAATGTTATTGAATTGGAAATAAAATTGAAACCAAACCATGTTCATTTTGAAAAAAACTTTTTCCTAAAATCATTAATTGGTCAATGTTAGATAAGTTTTGAAGCCCCTGCACATTTCTAGACACCTTTGAAAAGTTACCCTGTGTGCAATGGTTCAAACATTTGAGTCAAAGTAGTGATGATGGAGACGAGAACACATCATCACTACCAACTAAGTAAAAAAAACAATTCCAAAAATAACTACTGAATATCCTTGAGACCCTGCTTTATACATGTAATTTGAAGCCTACATCCCTATATATTATAACAAGTCAGGTACGTCCACAAAACAAGGGTATCCTCTAAAAGTAGTTGCGAAATTGCTTGCTTATTGTCTTTTTTTGGCAATTTAAGTTTCATCCTTTTTGTTTTGTTTACGGTATATTTTCATGCTGTAGAATTTTCATTTTAAAGTCTTGCTTTTTATGTTTCACATTAAAAGATACATTTGGAAATGTAGCATGCCCACATGCATGTGTCTGACATTATTGTTTGATGTGAAAACTAACACAGTTTTATATTTGATTATTCAACTGTTTTCTGAATACTGTATTTTTACCTGGTGATTTAGAAGCATGTGTATGTGTTTGGCATGTTTGACCTTGGTTGACCTCTGTTCCAGTGGACAGCTTTCGTTGGCTTCTCTTCTTTAATATATGTTTTCAATCTTGTCAGTTAGTTTATGTATGCAAATTTTTTCGTTTATTTAAATTTCTGCAGAATTGATTTAACTTATTTACATGATAACAAAATTAAAAAATTAAAAAAGTTTTCCAACCTGTTTTATCAAAAGGGAACCTTCCTAGTGGTTTATGTTCACCCATTCATCCTTGATCAGTTTCACTCACTCATATAATTCATTGGTATCCTTCCTATAAGCATTGTGTTGAAAGCAGACATTAGGATTATGCTGATGCTTTGTCTGACCGTTCGCATCAGACGCTATTTGTAACTGTCCTATAAAACGGAGTTTGACCTAGAAATGAGAGTTTCTAGTTGGTGCGTTTCTCAGCGGACCTTCGGTCACTTAACTGATGACCATTGTGATTGGCCAGTTGTCCAAGGTAAGGTTTTCATACTTCATAACCTCCCTCGTACCATTCCATGTGCATGCTTTCAGAGCCTTCATACCATAAGCTTATACGTCAGGGCTTAACGTCATAAAATTGTAAATGTCTGGGCTATATTTACCATTGCACAACAATGTTGAATGAATCACCCCATACAATTTTATGCAAAAAAAAAGAAAAATTGTTTCATAAATTTGTAAATCAGGACTTCATACCATAAGCTTAAACACCAGTGCTCCACATCATATACATCTAGGCTTAACATCATTTCACTGGTATGTCAAAAGATTCATACAATGAAAGTATATACCCAAGTTTCATACCATTGAATTCTAATACATGGTGTCAGACTATTTCATTCTTATGACAAAGGTATCATATTGTTGAATTTTGAGCTCACCTGCCACAAAATATGACTGAGCATATTTTCCTTTTGAACACTTCTTCTTGAAAACTGAAAGAGCCAGGGTCCATGTACGGGTACCCTTGGATGGAATACTATAAGGTTTCCTCATAACAATGACCTTGACCTACAGGGTTCAGATATGTTAAAAACTTAGAGACACATTTCTAATGACCATAAGGTATACAGCCATGATAAGTAGGATATGAAGAGTAGCAGTAATTTGCTAATTTTCTAATATGGTGCTTAAGTCTAAGGTCAACTTTGAGCAAGACCCAGGTCAAAGGTTAACACAGGCTGTCGCGGATATACAAATTAAGAATCTTGTTCCTAAGTTCCATAAGGTCCAGGATCCTGATATTTAGCCAGTAGGTACCTGGCATGGGGTTCTCTTGAGTTTGCTCATATCAACGACCTTGACCTTTCAAGGTCACAGGGGTGACTATGATAAAACTTCAAGTAATGCTTTTTAAAGGACCATGAAGTCTAGACTGAATCTTTTTTTATTATTATACATAGTGTTTAGGTCAAAGGTCAACTTTGAGCACTGGCCATGATTGAAGGTTAACATCATTAAGCAATAATGGGCCCAAAAAGTTCCATGAGGCTCGGGTTTCTGATATTTTGCCTCGAGATACCTTGGACGGAGTGATAAAATTTCCACATGTCAAAAACCATCACTTACTTTAAAGTCATAGAGGTCAAATATGTCAAAATATTATTATTTGAAGAATCATAAGGTCTAGAGACATGATATTTAAGAAATATGTAGACCACTAGTGCAGACTTTTTTTCAGTCCTTGGATCATATCTTTGGAAAATTGTTAAGATCCCCACCACATAACCATTCACAGGCTATTATTACTGGGCATGATTGAAATAATGCAAGATGCTACCAAGATTAGTGCAAGGATCTGGCACTGCCCCTATAGTGACTTATTCTCAGGTCATTATTAGAAATGATGTGATCCTAACCCTACAACTATATTATACATGTTTATGGTTCTCAACCAGTACATATATTATTGCTAATAAGCATCCTTGGATCAAAGTGACAGAGTCTGATACAGGGAAATATTTACAATATTATATACTCTGAATGAAAATATACAGCTATGATTGCATAAACTTCCCCGGATATCAGTCCTCTGGGCCTCTTGTTCTTTATATGACATCACATTGTACTTAAAAGGTTGTGATGCTGTGAAGTTGTCCTAGTTGTGATATTACACTTGAAACAATGGACACCTGTAATCAATCATAGCACCTCTTGGTGTTACTAACACAACTTATGGGTGGGTGTTGTGCTACTGATAACAGGGTAGTTATGAGATAAATTCACTTTTCCACATTGAATGTAAATGTCTTTTTGAACATTGATTTTTATACCATCCTCCATTATCATCCACATGTAACATTTCAACAACAAAAGTGCTGTTAAAATGGGTTATTTCTACAGAGGAAGATTTTTATTTGATAATTCTTGGTTGGAAAAAAAAAATGATAAAAAGATCAATTTGAATATATTTTATTTTCACTTTTTATTTTATTCAGTTACTTAGCTTGTGAATTTGTATCTGGAAAAACAACATTGAATCGGACTTTTATGTTCTGAAATTACTAGATTTTAGTTTTAATGAAATATGTTGTTTTATTTTGATTTGCCTTCAAATGAGTCCCGACTCCTGCTTACCTCCCTTCCTTGGTGTCCTTGCATGCATTGCACATCGCTTCAGCACCAGAACAAATAACTTATATTAACAACTAACACTAATGAGCCGTAGCCTGATGTTTTCTTTCTCTTTTGAAATACAAAATGATGTATGTATACTTGAAGTAGAAAGATTTAATTTACCTGAGAAAAAAATATCATAAGATTGACTAAAATGATAATCTTACTGAATGAAAAATTAATAGCTAATAATGTGATTTAAATTGGTATCTTGACTTGGTATTTTACTGCAGATTTTTTTTCATAATAAAATGATGTTGGAATTTATCACATATGGTTAAGTTTGAGAATTCTGTACATTTTATTATTTACCTGTATTGAATTCAGAAAAATAATTTGGTATGTTTGAAAAGCTGAAATTTTAAGAAACAGTTAAAAGCTTATTGCATAGTCCTTCAATTGTTATTTGTGTTCTAAGAACAGTGAACCAGGCATGGATGTGAAAAGATTTCTGATTTGACCTTACCACCGCGGGTGACCTCGGACTGGTTCTGCCCAAGAACATAACCTGTTCGTAGAGGTCAAAGTGGTGCCAGGGTCAAAGGTTAATCTATCAAAATGTGCAAGGGTAACATTTCAGTGTAACAGAGCTACAGTATTAAATTATAGCTAGTTATCATCAACATGTCAATCTGTTAATGTAGCCCAGCCTTGTATATTTACAAGTACTGTATTTTCAGCACTGTAAAAAACATCTGCTTTTGTCCAGACAACAGCTTTGATTTTCCTTTCTAGAAGATCTGTACAAATAATTAAAATTATGAAACGTTTTTTAAGATGTTAGGATCCTCCCTTACGAGGAATACACATGCATCTATCCCTTATGCCTATAAAAAAACCTCCTGTTTTGAAATTTGTGAATTTTTTAGCTTTATACATTTTTGCTTGGTAAATGATGGATGTTTGACTATTGTTTACCCAATGTTATTGTGTTACTGTAAGGGAGTGCAGAAGATACGGTACAGCAGGATTTGTATGTAGGGCTGCCTTGGGCTACCTGTTGGTGACTTGACTACTAATACCTTGTGTTTTTGTCCATGTGTTTTGTTTGCAGTGAGGGCGGCTAAGTTAGATGATTGGGTCCTGGTCTTGTATGGCACAGAAACGGATCCACTGCGCACAACCATCACCACCTCAACTACCACAAAGATTACTCCCTTGAAAAATAATTCCCGACCCCGCAAAAGTAAACCCCTTCGCCCTTCCGTCACTTCTACCACCGAATCTTCCTTCACACCCTATGAGTATATGCCATCAAAGAAGAATCGCCAAAAACCAAAAGATCGAGACCATAACCGTTACCCCAATAAGTACCCTTGGCGTCCCCCTTCAATTTATCCCAAATATGATAATTTGAAGCCTCCTCACATGTGCATTTTTGAAACTTTGGCCAAACGGAACAACATGTCTGCTTTACAATATATGAGGATGGTCAGAGGCAACCTAACGGCAGGCAAGGAAACCACTCCTAGGCATGTCTGTCTGTCCGTCCATCTTGGGCATGTCTGTCTTTCCGTCCAGGCATGCCAATTTCTGTCCTTAGTCTGTGCCCCAGGCATGCCCTCTAGCCTCTCTGTGAGTGTTGGAAGCATCAGGCATGACCAGGTTTGTGACTGGTCTGAGTTGTCTGGCCTTGTCCTTACAGGCATGTGCCATCTTTTCTGTACTGGTAGCATTCTCTGTGATTGTCTTCTGTCTGTTGTATTCAGTTTCTTCTTTGTCATCTGAGTTTTAGGCTTGTTTTGCCTGGCACTTGTAGATTATTTCATTTCTTGGGGTCATCTCAAACACTGTTTATAAAGTGCACCTGAAGTTTTGTCAATGTGAGAATGCACATGTTGGGTCCATACCTGTCGGGAGGTGTCTGCTGACCTTATATTCCTGTACAAATTGCACAAGTTTATAATTATTATCACTAGGACTCACATTTTAATAAAAGTTTCTTGCCTTTTCCCTAAATGTAGTTGTGAGATGATCCCTGTGTTTCTACTGCATGGCTTCCATCATTGCATTGTTGCACATTGTTATATTTTATTCTTTTTTCCTACATTTATTTTGTGCATGTTGTGTGTTTTCCCCATTTTTTATCACATGACTAGAAGTTAAACTTTGCTACAATCATCAAAAACTTGTTTGAAGTGTCTGTACATGTTGAGACAACATCATTTCTTGGTCAGCTAATAGTCAAAATTACCTGGTTCAGTTTCTCCGTTAGAATCTACATTGTGAAGGAAAAGTCAATATTTTTAGATTTTATAAATAACATATCCATCTGTATGTATATCAGTTGCACATTGCCGGCAATGACCTTGATCCCCTTCCTGCCCTTGACCTCTGACCCTTCGCCATACTCCGCTATAACCTTTTTAGCTTCATCTTCTTTTTTTTTTTATTTATTTTTAAATATTTTATGTAAACTTATATTTTTTTTAACTGCTGATGTTTATTGCAGTTTTCTTTTTGTATCACTGAGTGACACAGTTTGATCTATATTTATCTATATCTACTATAGAATGGTTTAGCTTTGATGTATTCAAGAAATATGAAAAAATGTATATATCTCCTATACATGCCATAAGTATGCTTCTTATTAATGATATTATAAATGTTATGATGATATTCATTGGTATAGATATAACCGCTTATATATCCTGTAACTGTTTCTATATCTATAGTCATTTGCTCGTAGATGAATGAATCCATATAAAAGTACAAACAGTCATGCTTTGGTTCTTGATTGTAGTTGTTTCTTCATGATGATTTGTTGCATGAAATTTTGATTCAATATTTAATTACCATGGTTATAAACAGCTGACCATAGAAGCCATGATAATACATCATATTGCCATGGTAATATATCATATTGCCATGGTAATACATCATATCGCCATTGTGATACATCATATTGCTGATGGTAAAACATTGTATTGCCATGGAAGTACAACATATTGCCATGGTGATACATCATATTGCCATGGTGACACATCATATTGTCATCATATTGCCATGGTGACACATCATATTGCCATGGTGATACATCATATCACCATTGTGATACATCATATTGCCGATGGTAAAACATTGTACTGCCATGGGAGTACAACATATTGCCATGGTGATACAACATATTGCCATGGTGACACATCATATTGCCATGGTGATACATTATATTGCCATGGTGACACATCATATTGCCATGGTGATACATCATATTGCCATGGTGATACATCATATTGCCAAGGTAGTACATCATATTACCATAGTAGTACATCTTATCTCAGGTCAAACTTATCCATGAGTAATTGTAAACTTTATTTCCAGTTTCAAACATTGAGATAAATGATCCTAGCTGTTTTCCAAAAAAAAAATTTAACCATCTCACAACTTCTGCCTTAGTGTACAAAAAGGTATTTTTTTATTTCAATATTTACTTTTTTTATTGTTATATCTTCCTATGGAAATTCATTCATAAATTTCATGATTTTGAAGCAAAAAAATGTTTTAAGATAACAGTTACATTGGATTGCCATGAAGCTACATATGTTTTTATCATTTGACAAGCTTTGTCCAGGGTCAGGTCATATGATGAAACAATACAAACAAGAACTAAAATGTAGAATTGTACGTCATAGCATGTACCGTATATCCACATTATTTTCATTGAATGATTCCATTTCAAATAGGAATAAATAATTGATGTGCTAGATTTTTCAAATGGTGGACATTTCTGTAATAGTTGAGGAATGTGGAAACTCCAACCTACCTGTTTTTTGCTTGCAATACAATATATATAAGAACACCGGTGGTTCAAATTGGTACAAATACTGATATATACACCAGTACAAATACAAACAGGGATACAAAACTTCTTTCTTTCATTCTACTACACTTTGGTAAGTGACCTTCATTCAATGTCATTGGATGTTGCTAGTACAGTATGAAGAATTAATTCACATCTCTCAGCGCGGATAAGTATAAGGAAAGTACACTGGACGATTTGACATAAATCAGGAATAGGTATCGCAATTCATTTATTCCTAGACACATTGTTACTCAGACAAATTAATTGGACATCAACAATCCTCTCCTGGAAATGAGTTTGACATGAAATGGAGACAGATTGTTAGGGGACAGGCCTGTTATTGTGGAGGAGCAATGGCTACAAGACCAGTCATTATACCATACAATAGACACATTATCTCCTTTATTGAGGACTTAGCTTCTGATGCTGGTATTGAGTGATGTAGTGGTGGTCTGTGAGGCCAGTCTGTGTAAGGTCTGAAAGGCAGTCCATATAATATAGTATCAGGGTCCTGAGGCCAATCTATATAAGATACTGCTGGGGAGTGGAGGGGGAAATCTTGTGTTTGGAGGGGTTTAACATCTACCAAGTACTATTGTGTTAGGTTTGTGGGGTCAGTCTATATAATATTGTGTTAGGTTTGTGGGGCCAGTCTATGTCATATTGTGTTAGGTTTGTGTGGTCAGTCTATGTAATATTGTGTTAGGTTTGTGGGGCCAGTCTATTTTATATTGTGTTAGGTTTGTGGGGCCAGTCTGTGTCATATTGTGTTAGGTTTGTGGGGCCAGTCTGTGTCATATTGTGTTAGGTTTGTGGGGCCAGTCTATGTAATATTGTGTTAAGTTTGTGGGGTCAGTCTGTGTAATATTGTGTTAAGTTTGTGGGGCCAGTCTATGTAATATTGTGTTAGATTTGTGGGGCCAGTCTATGTAATATTGTGTTAAGTTTGTGGGGTCAGTCTGTGTAATATTGTGTTAGATTTGTGGGGCCAGTCTGTGTCATATTGTGTTGGATTTGTGGGGCCAGTCTGTGTCATATTGTGTTAGGTTTGTGGGGCCAGTCTGTGTCATATTGTGTTAGGTTTGTGGGGCCAGTCTGTGTCATATTGTGTTAGGTTTGTGGGGCCAGTCTGTGTCATATTGTGTTAGGTTTGTGGGGCCAGTCTGTGTCATATTGTGTTAGGTTTGTGGGGCCAGTCTGTGTAATATTGTGTTAGGTTTGTGGGGCCAGTCTGTGTAATATTGTGTTAGGTTTGTGGGGCCAGTCTGTGTAATATTGTGTTAGGTTTGTGGGGCCAGTCTGTGTCATATTGTGTTAGGTTTGTGGGGCCAGTCTGTGTAATATTGTGTTAGGTTTGTGGGGCCAGTCTATGTAATATTGTGTTAAGTTTGTGGGGTCAGTCTGTGTAATATTGTGTTAGGTTTGTGGGGCCAGTCTGTGTCATATTGTGTTAGGTTTGTGGGGCCAGTCTATGTAATATTGTGTTAAGTTTGTAGGGCCATAAGGTTTGTGGGGCCAGTCTGTGTAATGTTGTGGTAAGTTTGTGGGGCCATAAGGTTTGTCGTGCCAGTCTGTGAAATGTTGTGTTAGGTTTGTGGGGCCAGTCTATGTAATATTGTGTTAGGTTTGTGGGGTCGGTCTATGTTATATTGTGTTAGGTTTGTGGGGCCAGTCTATGTAATATTGTGTTAGATTTGTGGGGCCAGTCTATTTTATATTGTGTTAGGTTTGTGGGGCCAGTCTGTGTCATATTGTGTTAGATTTGTGGGGCTAGTCTGTGTAATATTGTGTTAGATTTGTCGGGCCAGTCTGTGTCATATTGTGTTAGATTTGTCGGGCCAGTCTGTGTCATATTGTGTTAGGTTTGTGGGGCCAGTCTGGGTCATATTGTGTTAGGTTTGTTGGGTTAGTCTATGTAATATTGTGTTAGATTGTGTAATATTGTGTTAGGGTTGTGGAGCCTGTCTGTGTCATATTGTCTTAGGTTTGTGGGGCCATTCTCTGTAATATTGTGTTAGGTTTGTGTGGTCAGTCTATGTAATATTGAGTTAGATTTGTGGGGCCAGTCTGGGTCATATTGTGTTAGGTTTGTGTGGTCAGTCTATGTAATATTGAGTTAGATTTGTGGGGCCAGTATGTGTCATATTGTGTTAGGTTTGTGGGGCCAGTCTATGTAATATTGTGTTAGGTTTGTGGAGCCAGTATATGTAATATTGTGTTAGGTTTGTGGGGCCAGTCTATTTTATATTGTGTAAGGTTTGTGGGGTCAGTCTATGGTATATTGTGTTAGGTTTGTGGGGCCTGTCTGTGTCATATTGTGTTAGGTTTGTGGGGCCAGGCTATATAATATTGTGTTAGGTTTGTGGGGCGAGTCTATGTAATATTGTGTTAGATTTGTAGGGTTAGTCTATGTAATATTGTGTTAGGTTTGGGGGGCCAGTCTGTATGTAATATTGTGTTAGTAATATTGTGTTAGGTTTGTGGGGGCCATTCTCTGTAATATTGTGTTAGGGTTGTGGGGCCAGTCTATGTAATATTTTGTTAGATTTGTTGGGGTAGGCTATGTAATATTGTGTTAGGTTTGTGGTGCCAGTCTAGTTTATATTGTGTAAGGGTTGTGGGGTCAGTCTATGTTATATTGTGTTAGGTTTGTGGGGCCAGTCTATGTAATATTGTGTTAGGTTTGTGGGGCCAGTCTGTATGTAATATTGTGTTAGGTTTGTGGGGCCATTCTCTGTAATATTGTGTTAGGTTTGTGGGGCCAGTCTATGTAATATTTTGTTAGATTTGTTGGGTTAGTCTATGGAATATTGTGTTAGGGTTGTTGGGTTAGTGGGGCCAGTCTGTAATATTGTGTTAGATTTGTTTGGTCAGTCTATGTAATATTGTGTTAGGTTTGTGGGGCCAGTCTATGTAATATTGTGTTAGGTTTGTGTGGTCAGTCTATGTAATATTGTGTTAGGTTTGTTGGGTTAGTGGGGCCAGTCTGTAATATTGTGTTAGATTTGTGGGGCCAGTCTATGTAATATTGTGTAAGATTTGTGGGGCCAGTCTGTGTCATATTGTGTTAGATTTGTGGGGCCAGTCTACGTAATATTGTGTTAGATTTGTTGGGTTAGCCTATGTAATATTGTGTTAGGTTTGTTGGGTTAGTCTATGTAATATTGTGGTAGATTTGTTTGGTCAGTCTATGCAATATTGTGTTAGGTTTGTGCGGCCAGTCTATGTAATATTGTGTTAGATTTTTTGGGTTAGTCTATGTAATAATGTGTTAGATTTGTTGGGTTAGTCTATGTAATATTGTGTTAGATTTGTTGGGCCAGTCTATGTAATATTGTGTTAGATTTGTTGGGTTAGTCTATGTCATATTGTGTTAGATTTGTTGGGTTAGTCTATGTGATATTGTGTTAGATTTGTTGGGTTAGTTTATGTAATATTGTGTTAGATTTGTTGGGTTAGTCTATGTCATATTGTGTTAGGTTTGTGGAGCCAGTCTATGTAATATTGTGTTAGATTTGTTGGGTTAGTCTATGTAATATTGTGTTAGATTTGTTGGGTAAGTCTATGTAATATTGTATTAGATTTGTTGTGTTAGTCTATGTGATATTGTATTAGGTTTTTGGAGCCAGTCTATGTAATATTGTGTTAGGTTTGTGGGGCCAGTCTATGTCATATTGTGTTAGGTTTGTGGGCCAGTCTGTGTAATATTTTGTTAGGTTTGTGGGGCCAGTCTGTGTCATATTGTGTTAGGTTTGGGGGCCAGTCTGTGTAATATTGTGTTTGGTTTGTGGGGCCAGTCTTTGTAATATTTTGTTAGGGTTTTGGGGCCAGTCTGTGTCATATTGTGTTAGATTTGTGGGGCCAGTCTATGTAATATTGTGTTAGATTTGTTGGGTTAGTCTATGTAATATTGTATTTGGTTTGTGGGGCCAGTCTGTAATATTGTGTTAGGTTTGTGGGGCCAGTCTATGTAATATTGTGGGAGATTTGTGGGGGCAGTCTATTTTTTATTGTGTTAGGTTTGTGGGGCCAGTCTGTGTCATATTGTGTTAGGTTTGTGGGACCAGTCTATGTAATATTGTGTTAGATTTGTGGGGCCAGTCTATGTAATATTGTGTTAGATTTGTTGGGTTAGTCTGTGTCATATTGTGTTAGGTTTGTGGGGCCAGTCTATGTCATATTGTGTTAGGTTTGTGGGACCAGTCTATGTAATATTGTGTTAGATTTGTAGGGTTAGTCTATGTAATATTGTGTTAGATTTGTAGGGTTAGTCTATGTGATATTGTGTTAGGTTTGTGGGGCCAGTCTGTGTCATATTGTGTTAGGTTTGTGGGGCCAGTCTATGTAATATTGTGTTAGATTTGTTGGGTTAGTCTATGTCATATTGTGTTAGATTTGTTGGGTTAGTCTATGTAATATTGTGTTAGGTTTGTGGGGCCAGTCTATGTCATATTGTGTTAGGTTTGTGGGCCAGTCTTTGTAATATTTTGTTAGGTTTGTGGGCCAGTCTTTGTAATATTTTGTTAGATTTGTTGGGCAATTCAGTGTAATATTGTGATAGATTTGTTGGGCAATTTAGTGTAATATTGTGTTAGATTTGTAGGGCAATTCAGTGTAATATTGTGATAGATTTGTAGGACAATTCAGTGTAATATTGTGATAGATTTGTAGGACAATTCAGTGTAATATTGTGATAGATTTGTTGGGCAATTCAGTGTAATATTGTGATAGATTTGTTGGACAATTCAGTGTAATATTGTGTTAGATTTATAGGGCAATTCAGTGTTATATTGTGTTAGATTTGTAGGGCAATTCAGTGTAATATTGTGTAAGATTTGTAGGGCAATTCAGGGTAATATTGTGTTAGATTTGTAGGGCAATTCAGTGTAATATTGTGATAGATTTGGAGGACAATTCAGTGTAATATTGTGATAGATTTGTAGGACAATTCAGTGTAATATTGTGTTAGATTTGTAGGGCAATTCAGTGTAAGATTGTGATAGATTTGTAGGACAATTCAGTGTAATATTGTGTTAGATTTGTAGGGCAATTCAGTGTAATATTTTGATAGATTTGTAGGACAATTCAGTGTAATATTGTGTTAGATTTATAGGGCAATTCAGTGTTATATTGTGTTAGATTTGTAGGGTAATATTGTGTAAGATTTGTAGGGCAATTCAGGGTAATATTGTGTAAGATTTGTAGGGCAATTCAGTGTAATATTGTGTTAGGTTTGTTGGGCAATTCAGTGTAATATTGTGTTAGATTTGTAGGGCAATTCAGTGTAATATTGTGATAGATTTGTTGGACAATTCAGTGTAATATTGTGTTAGATTTATAGGGCAATTCAGTGTTATATTGTGTTAGATTTGTAGGGTAATATTGCGTAAGATTTGTAGGGCAATTCAGGGTAATATTGTGTTAGATTTGCTGTGCTTTTCTATGCTGTATTGTGTTAGATTTGTAGGGCAATTCAGTGTAATATTGTGATAGATTTGTAGGACAATTCAGTGTAATATTGTGATGGATTTGTAGGGCAATTCAGTGTAATATTGTGTTAGGTTTGTTGGGCAATTCAGTGTAATATTGTGTTAGATTTGCTGTGCTTGTCTATGTAATATTGTGTTAGATTTGTAGGGCAATTCAGTGTAATATTGTGTTAGATTTGCTGTGCTTTTCTATGCTGTATTGTGTTAGATTTGTAGGGCAATTCAGTGTAATATTGTGTTAGGTTTGTAGGGCAATTCAGTGTTATATTGTGTTAGGTTTGTTGGGCAATTCAGTGTTATATTGTGTTAGATTTGCTGTGCTTTTCTATGCTATATTGTGTTAGATTTGTAGGGCAATTCAGTGTAATATTGTGTTAGATTTGTAGGACAATTCAGTGTAATATTGTGTTAGATTTGTAGGGCAATTCAGTGTAATATTGTGTTAGATTTGTAGGACAATTCAGTGTAATATTGTGTTAGATTTGTAGGGCAATTCAGTGTAATATTGTGTTAGATTTGTAGGACAATTCAGTGTAATATTGTGTTAGATTTGTAGGGCAATTCAGTGTAATATTGTGTTAGATTTGTAGGACAATTCAGTGTAATATTGTGTTAGATTTGCCAGGCCAATCTCGTACCTTGGTTATAATGCACCAAGGATGTTTGTTGAGCATTTGCTTTCATTAAAACAGAAAGCGTGTTATTATTTTACCTTACTAAACACAATTTCATTCACAAGTACAAGTTATACTAGTAAATATGATTTCCATACATTTAAACAATGCTACTGCTGCACTTTTTCTGTTGTAACCTATTATGGTATAATTACACTGCACTAGACCTGGAGACAATATCAGAACACATCTGAAGTTAAAGAAAAAAATATAAAAACACATTTGAAGTTCAGGAGAATTAGATGTAAGCTTGAAAATCACTTCACCTGCCGACAATAGCTTTTTTTCCTCCTCTTTCAGAGTTTCCTCATAAGTGTATAAAGTTCTTGTTTTTCATTCATTTGTAAATTTAAAAAAAAAAGATCTATTTATAACTCCCATAGTTAGGTTCAATTTTAAAAGCGTATTTTAATTTTTCAACTTCCCAATATTTCATTGCATCTTTTTACCTTCCAGCCGAATTAAAACAATGGACACTGGTTGTCATGGGCACTGGTACTCATCCTCAAAGCCGCAACATAACTTCCCAACCAGTGAAGAAAAAGGAGCCCTTAAAATGTGCTGGCATCACTTCTCACGGCATATGTATAGGTTAGTACACTTACCATGAATAAGATGTGACAATGCTTCTCGTGATGTATAGTCGAGTCATGTGGTTACAATATTTTTATCCTCCCAACAATATTAACACATTACCTGAGATGCAAATGATTGTAAAGATATGACCTGTATCAAAGACTATGATGATGTAATCCTACTGACCTTAATGTGAAGTAGGCCCGACACTGTCAAACACTATCCGGAGACAACTTCGTTTTGTCAAATGTACCACATTATTGATACAAAGGTTACCCTGTTTCAGAATGCCGTCCAGGATTTTACAAGTTTGGTGACGGCTGTGTGGCCAGCTGTCCGGAGTTTTACTACGGCACCATGGAGACAGTGTTGATGGACTCAAACCATAACTCGTCTGGCTGGGCTCCACAGTACCAGAGACATGGTATCTGTCATGCCTGCAATGATGCCTGTCGGACTTGTAAAGGGCCATATGTTGAAGACTGTTTTCAGTGTAGTGAGGGATATGAGATCAGGGACGGGTACTGTCGCAGAAAGCTGATCATGAATTTCTTAGACCCAGATATGCTGAGTTTCTTTGTCTGGGTGATAATTCTATGCACGTCGGCCATCTTGCTATTTGGTGTGGTCTTCATAGTTCTACAAGCCCGGGACCACAACATTCTCTGCTGGCGTGGGGAAAAGGAAAGACAATCAGAGGGGTCAAAAGGCAAATACCGTGACGTGCCAACTCGTCCTGCGGAGGACCGAGAAAGTGACATAGATCATTACCACACTGTGTTACAAAACATTCACACACTTAACTCTTACAATAAGTATAGCCTAAACCATAGTTACCCACCTACGAGACATTGACAACAACTCCAGCCCCTGCCTACAGTTACCTGCCCTTGGCAGCGACAAGAACAGTTTGGCCCCTCGTGTTGGCCTGGAGGGACTACCGAAGGTCACACAGTGTACACCTGAGATACGTGTCGAGGGTGGAATCTGTAGCACACAGGGCGCATCAATGATTACACAATTATGAGAGTTGTTTCATGCTGAATGTTATGTATACTGATTATATATATATATATATGATGGGTCTCCTACATATGCTGCGAGTGTCTGTACGAGCATGTCTGTCCATCTGTAGAGAGAGACTGTTGGATGTCTGTGGTAATTAGTAGACCATGTTGTGTTTTGATTATCAATACTCTCTCTGTTTATATAGAATCTAGGTATTGTGTATAGCTGAACTATAATCTAGGTCGTGTGTATGGCTGGGCAATAATCTAGATTACATGTATGACTGGGCTTACATGTGGTATGGCTGCATTTCTATCTAGATCAAATGTATGAGTGGTCTGTTATCTAGATCAAGTGTATGGCTAGGTTATAATCTGTGTCATATATATGGCTAGGCTATTATATCTAGGTCCTGTGTATAAAGGAGCTATAATCTAGGTCGTGTGTATGACTGGGATATAACCTGGGTTACATGTATGATGGGTTATAATCTATGTAATCTGTATGGTGAGCTATTGTTTAGGTTGTGTATGTAGTTTGGCTACTATCTAAGTTATACTGTATGTATGACTTGTCTATTATCTAGATCAAGTATGTAGCCAGGCTTTGGAATAATCTCCTGAAATGTTGTTGAATATTTAAACAGTTTGTTAACATAATGATATACATTTATCATTGATACATTATATAGAGAAATGAAGGTAAAATTTGACCATTTAACTCATTCACCCCTGAAGACACATTTGAACTCTTCCAATTCAAAGGTTGGAATAGTTCATTATGAAATTTCAGGGGTGAATGAGGTAAAGTATTCGCTATGCAGACCTAAGTGGATTTGATTCATTATCTATCCTGTAACACCTACAAATCTAAAACTTAATAGGAACTTTTGTTTCTCATATGGTTTGTGTTTGCTATCACCAAGGAAAATCTTGTTTGCCATTGTGGACTCTGAGGCTGAATAATGTTAAGTGAAAAATAAGTTTTCAGGACCAGATATTTTGAATCAAGCCTCTTGTGACAAGTGGTTATATAATGATACATACATTTCCCTAATGCCCATATGTAATTGTAAAATGTGAAACAGATATAGACTGTAAGTACATGTGATTGTAGTGTATGGTAGTGATATACTGTGTATTTTATAGGGTGTAGAAACCGGACATCTTCAGAATTCCATAAATTAATCATTTGTTTTAAATACTCTGGTTGTTTTTATAATACCTGTTGCCTCTTTATCTTGACAAATGAATTTATAGATAAGAAATAATTTTAGATTGGAATCAAAAGTATGTAGCCTAAGTTTGAATTTGTATGTTCATTTTTTATTTCTGAATCGAAAAGTTGGTTTTAATGGTTAGAGAAGTATTGATGCTCTGTATTAAAACTTCACCAGTAGTTTCAAAAATCAAAAAGCATCTTGCAATTAGAGTTCTGACATTTAATAAATGTGTTTAGAAAGTGAACGATATTGTAGCAATAACTTAATATTTTCAGGGATTTGCTCTTTAGAAAAAAAGATGTTGAAAAATTCTCAACAGGCAGTTAATGTAATAAAGGGGGGTAACTGCCCTTAGTACTGGCTTCACCCTCACTTTACCATCTAAGTATACGCTTTAATAAATAACTGTAATCCCAAAATGTAGCCATTTTGGTTGCGAGATATCGGTCATCAGGACACTTTTTAAGAAATATTTCTATCTTATTTTAAATGATTTAGTTATTATGTTGTTTTATGACCAAAAATGTTACTAAGTCCCAAAGACATTTTGTTATCATTTATGCAGAGTTTGAAAACTATTTATTTACTATGTATTTTTTGTTAGATACTGGATCGAGTAACGTTTTGATGAAATGGTCATCTTATGTTTTACAGATGTATATAGTTATTGATGAAATTGTTGTTTTAACCCACAGGTGACTTAATTGTGTATGTTAAATACGTTTTTCTCTTTCCTCTTTTTGATACAGAGACAACACTGGTTTTGAGAAATTCCAAAAAAAAAGGAAAACAAAAAAATGAATTGCCTTAAGAAATCAACAGGTATCAGGGTGTTGTTTTTTTTAAATATATTAATATTTCAACTTGAATGTTATTAAGTCTATTTATCATATAAAGTGTATTGATTTAAAGGTAAATTCAGTATGTAAATTAATGATAGGATACCGGATATTTGAAACTGTTAGTTGACTGTCCCCTTTACCAGAAGTTAAATGCTCATTTGTAGGGGAGAAACAGCAAAATATAATTCAATCTTTCACCCCTGAAATTTCGCAATGAACTATTCCAACCTTGGAATTGGACAAGTTCAAATGTGTCTTCAGGGGTGAATAAGTTTAAGATCTATTATGATATTTTGACAAATTATAGATGGCAACACAATAATCTCCAAACAAAACTTTTGTGGGAGTATGTGCACAGGACGTTACATGTTGTAATGTAAGGGTAGATTGTTTTCGCTGGTCAGTGATGTTGTTAGTACTGGTCAGTGTGCGTTAGTGACCAGTACTGCCAGTCTGCTCTAATCTCATAGGGACTGCTCAATCACTTAATTTCATGTACAAACTTCACGGGAACAATTTGTGGATTATATTTGCAGTGTGTTGTATAGTATGATTGTGTAAAATCATTTTGTATGGGGTAATTGTTCCGGGACCTTAAAATCCGGGGTCTGCTCCATAGGGATATAGTCTTGTGACGTCCATTTATACAGTGGTGTTATTGTTTTTGGATTGGGTGATCCATCGTCGGTGCTCTTGATTCCCCGTCAACAGATATGTATATCAAATTCTTCCACTTTTAGTCACGTGAGCCGCCAACATGTTTGTGTACATGAATACATTACTGTGTAGATTTGATCAGAGAGAAACCCCCTGTGTTGCTATTCTGAGAATAACAGACCACTAGTTCTTATACATGGGACCAGACATTAAAAGTACATCCATCTGTTTGGGCAATTCATCGGTTTTTATCAAAGAGTTGTTAACGCTGAGGTGAAGAATCTATAAAACAAACAAAAAATCATATACGCTAACAATGCTAAACATCTGTTTTTAACCATTTTTTTTATTAAATTTTTAACATTATTCGAAAGATTAACCAATGACACATTTCATGTAAATCTTATTTTCATGCCAGTCCATGAATGGCAATAATTTCAATTGAAAACTTCAATAAATGATTAATCAAATATATTATACAGCTATGTTTTATGAGAATACAAAATCTCTTAAAAATCGGTTTGTTCAGCACGTCTTGGTTAGGAGATTATCTGACCATCCTAACTCTTTGTAACATCTTACATAAGCTACTGCTCTTGTGAAAGCTGATCAGTTATCCTTATACATTCTACTCACTCCTGGTACACTAACATTTCTTTTAATGGCAGAATTCTCGTTTTTTCTCGGAGATATTTCAGTTTATTATTGAATCCACACAAATAGATGATTTGTATTTTGGGCGTCACTTCATTTGTACTTAGTATTGTACCCACAACAGCATTGCTATGGCATGGAGGCCTGGTTTAGTGTACATAAGTAACGTGTTAGCCCTATGCCGTAAGAACGTCCTCTGTCCGTGGTCACCCACCAGTTCTGTGTCTGTACAGTGTGTGTAGAACGGTGAACTCTGTTGTTACTTTTGGTGGTTAGTCGTTGTAGAAAAAAATGAAATGGACATGAAGATGATTTAAATATTGTGTATGATGTCAAAATAATGTGTTGCCTTTAAAAGTCATTATGACGATCATGAGCATGTGAAAACAAAAGATACGATCATTCATCTATTAACAACTTGCCCATATATGGTCATGATCAATAAAAAAAACTATTGTCATTTACATATTCCACTGGATTATATTTGGACACTCTTTCATCTCGTCTCATCCTTTATATATATATAAATATATCCCATCAATACATGAGCTTTAAGTTTTTACGTTTTTAAATGATGTATATTTCTGTCTAATTTATTTGCCCTTTGTTTATCAGAGATGTGTTAGCAGATCTGAATCCTGTTAAGTAGACTTGTGCGAGTGTTCATCAGCTACAAGTACGTGTATAATTGACATGTGTTAACCCTTTCACCCCTATGTAGCTTTAGTAGACTCTACCATGCATTGATATGGAGGGGTCCATTATGGTCCACAGTGGTGAAAGGGTTAATGTAGAAAACTTCATCCTCCATGTACTGTCATATCTGTGTGGGAGGGAAAGCAGGATACAGGCTAATCACTACTCTCTTTTGCATCATGTGTGCATGGTGTCTGGACCAGCCGAAACAGAACAGGTATATAATTCTCGTAGATTTTCTTACTCATTAGTATTTAGGTAAGTTTTGGTTTTCAGAATATTTTTCAAAAAACTCTTTGTCTACTTATCTGGCCATTGATGAGAAAATTTCAATAAACAATATATCATATTACAGCAATATAATTATATAGTTAGATAGCTTGAAACATCAACTTATCACAAATACTTCCAAGATACAACTTATTCAGTATCTTGTATAACACATCATTAGCAGATGATATGAGCTTAACTGGAGGGAAAAGTGATTCTTACAGAAATCTGTATCATAACATCAAGAAATTTTGTATTTCTTTTGCATTTTTACTTTAAAACGTGTAGATATCTTGTGTTAACTCAGGGTTACTCTATATTGCAGATGTACGTAGGTACAGGGCATGTTGTCATTGTTCTGTCTCGAAATGCTACAACCTTGTAGAACATTGCTAGGTAGCTTCAATGTTTTAACCTTCTATTGTAGACTCACTAGGATACTAACACCTCCACCGACTGTTGCCATTTGATTTTATCTTCCCTCACATGTAGACCAAAGTTCTGTAGTTTTTATGAGATTATTTCAAGATGAAAACATTGTCAGTTTGTTATTAATTATGTGGTTCTGATTTTCATTGGAGTATAACCTATAAAAGCCTTTATAGAAGGATTTTTGCTTAAAACTGCTTTTGAATGCGTTGACATTTTCTATGACAGAATCAGAAGAAATCTTTGATTCTATATGAAGTATACTTTGCACAATTGTTACGAGTAAAAAATGTGTTATGAGAAACACAAACCTGCTATTAATGATTAGAAAACTTTAGGGCCAAATCCTCTAGTCATTCAGTAATGTTAAGCATTGGCCTTTGACAATCAATTTTTGCCTTTGCGATCCCATTTTTTTGTGTATATGTAGATGCAGTGTTCCTGCCGATTCCATATTTTATGTTGGGTTGTCTCCCCTACAGTTTCTCAGTAAGGACCAGTCTAGACTTGTGTTACTACAAATGTATGTTACATTCAGCTATTAATAAAAGGTATCATTTGTAAGCTACTGCTTACCAGACAAAAAGGTTTTGAGATAATGATGCATGTTTTCTTAACTAGTTTTGATTACATTGAACTATAACATCAGAACTGATAATTATCAGTGATTCATGAACTTTTCCTATAAACTACATTTCACCTTATTTTTGTAGATCCCATTAGTGTTTTTCCATTGAGCAATGCGCTTTGTGATTTCAGTATGTACAAGTTATGGATTTTGCAGACTATTATTGAAGATGTAATATGATATTTCTATGATGAGAATTTATGTTGTGAGAATTTGTAATATTCAAGTTGTATATATTATGCAATATTCACAAATTTGAACATTTAACATAACATTACCATATGATACTAAAAAAATAAATCCTTTTGGAAACGTTATATAAATATTTATGATAATTATTTTACCAAAAACGTTTTAATTTTCAAACTATTTCTTGATATATTTCATCAAATTTCATTGGACATTTCAATTTTAAATGTACATTGTGGTATTACCTGATCCTTGTATTTAGAGATACAATATAAATTAAATATTCCAAGGATACAGTTTTAGTCATGCACTTTTCCAAAGTGACTTATTTATAAAATATTGAGGTCTGTATACTTTGAAGAACTGGTCAGTGCCAGTTTCCCCCGCTGTGCACACAACTTGCAGTTAATTTAATTCTTGAGCTTTACCCACCATGCTTGCAATGTTCAGTACAATCCTGTAAGATAGCTTCCTAGCAGCAGCCTACAGAGATCATTTATCTGGTCCCGGGATCATGAAACAATCTTAAACTTGAGGATTTGCTTAGCCAATCATGTACGACGTCACTTTTCATGACATAATGTGTGATTGGTTGAGATAAAACTTAAGACAATTTTAGACTTGGATCGTTTCATGAATCAGGGCTAGTACATTGTAGGTTATATTAGGTTGACTGTCACCAAACCTTGGATTACACATCAACAAGGTTTACGGTTATTATCACAGACCAAAATAATGCTGGACTTGGTTTGGTGATAGGTCAACCCTTTTTATTACTGGAAGGTCAGCGCTAGTACAGTGAAATGTAGCACACTAAAACCATCTCACAGAACAGGAGTGTGGCTATAGCATGCCTTTGTACAGACTTGTCTTCACTGCTGGTTATTGTGTAATACTGGAATTATCCTCAACACAAAACACTGCGTAAAACAACGCTATATACATTAAGTGCCGAGAGCTATTTTCCAGTACAGTCCACCACCCACTGGTAAGTAGGCTTGCTACTGGTCTCTTGATTACAGCGGAGTGTGTTGACCAATGGGAAATCAAATGACTGAAGGCAAGTCTGACCAGTACTAGGTTATAGAACAGCAGTAATACTTATCACTGGTGTGCTGTTACACCAGTAAATTGACTGCTGAAAAATCATCTCAACAAATATGTCCTCATTTACATGTAAATGATTTGTAAATTATTCTTCCTTGTGTAGCACTACTAAAGAAATCATGATGTAAACAAATAAATTCTTACAATGATATTTACTTGTTGTTTTATTCTCTCGTCAGTTTTCCTAGTACATGTATGTGAAGGAGACCAGCTATAATCATTGATAAAATTCTTATATCTGAAATTTTGGTACAACTAGTAAAGTCTTTGATTAAATAGACGAACACTCAACCCATGCAGCCACCCACCTTCCAATTATATATTGTATGCTAGCCATTTTCCTGATTTTGGCATTAAAATATTGAGTACCTAGTTGTGACTGTCTTTGCCATGAATAATAAAACTACAATCAGTACTGCAGTATAACATGATACTGACCAAAAGTGGGTTCCATGAAATCTTCTGGACAGCGAAAAAACAATGGGTCATACTCCGAGTCAAACATAAAGAGATATCAACAACAATCAGTGTGAAGCACAAATAGTTTCTGTATCTACTGAAGTATAAAGAAGATGCAGATTTTGTGTATACATGTATCAATATATTGTATCGGTACAGAAACTGATGAACTATTTGATTGTTGACCCTTTCACCACTGTAGACCATAATGGACACATCCAGATCAATGCATGGTAGAGTCTACATAGGGATGAAAGGGTTAAGCAGCTAGTAGCACAAAGTTCCTTGGTGATGTATCAAGGTGTGATGTCCGTGGATACCATGTTTCCTAGAAATTGTAAAGTATGAAGTTCCTTGATATCATGGGAGTGGTGATATCATGGGTAACGTATCCTGGGAGTGGTGATATCATGGGTAACGTATCCTGGGAGTGGTGATGTCATGGGTTATGTATCCTTGGAGTGGTGATATCATGGGTTATGTATCCTTGGAGTGGTGATATCATTGCTAACGTATCCTGGGAGTGGTGATGTCATGGGTAACGTATCCTGGGAGTGGTGATATCATTGGTAACGTATCCTTGGAGTGGTGATATCATGGGTAACGTATCCTGGGAGTGGTGATGTCATGGGTAACGTCTCCTGGGAGTGGTGATATCATGGGTAACGTATCCTGGAAGTGGTGATATCATGGGTAACGTATCCTGGGAGTGGTGATGTCATGGGTAACGTCTCCTGGGAGTGGTGATGTCTGTTGATTGTGTCCTAGATGCCAGTAGTACAAAATTCCTTGATGAAGGAGACATCAGATTTGTCAGGAAGTGGTGATGTCCACGGAACATTTCCTAGAAGCCAGCAATACAAAATTTCTTGGTGACAGGGCGGGGTCAAATATTGGCAACAGTACACTTGGTATCCCTAGAAAATATAAAGGAATAGACTGAATTAAAATAGCACATGCCTCAAACAAGGAATCAACTGCCATTTCCATCGTGGTAAAATATCTTTTGGTTGGACACAAAATGTATAACACCAGATATTTGTCTACAAGAGTAGAAGAACAAGTAAGACAACTTACATACATGTATTTATGTCACAATCAGACAAATCAGACTCTTTACTAATGTGTTTTTTTCCATTGTTCATTGGTTTAATATAGTAAAACTGAAAATTTCCATCCCCCTTTTTACCGTTGAGGAGGGCAGGCGAATCCAATATTAGATATTTCTTGAATCTGTTCTAACATACCATAGAAGCTTTGAAGGGCGTGATATATTAAATAGCAGCTAGTCATGATACCCATCTGCAAAAAAGTATTACAGTTCATAGTACAGTTCATTTATGCAGAACAACCGGTTTGTCTGTTTTTAAATGTAACATTTTGGTATAAATCCTGACGGACCTGCAATGTTTATGCAGGCCATGCAAAACTTTGTCGAGGCTCGCCTGAAAGCAGCATCAGATTACTACGTTCGACCTTCTTTCATAACGGAACAATTTTGGTCAAGCCGGTTAAATCGTTTGGATGGCAATAAACGAAAGCAGCCCAGTTCTCACCTTGTTCGTACAAGTAAAGCATCCTGTCCAGCAGAATGAGGCTCTCTACTACCGGGGCAAGCGACAATCGTAAAGTGTAGAAGGCCACCACCTTTTGCCAGCAGGGGAGGTAACTCTGTGCCTGCTGCAACACCTGGACTGGCACATCCGGATCTAGGCCCAGTCTTCGAAGGCTAGTCTTCACATAGCTGTAACAGTTTACTTGAGAGAATAAATATAGAATTTCCAAACCCAACTTTAAATTTCACTATAGCAACACTATAAAATTCCTATTCGTGCTTTATTATCGTTGAGTATTTATCTATGTATGTCCTTTATTATCGTTGAGTATTTATCTATGTATGTCCTTTATTATCGTTGAGTATTTATCTATGTATGTCCTTTATTATCGTTGAGTATTTATCTATGTATGTCCTTTATTATCGTTGAGTATTTATCTATGTATGTCCTTTATTATCGTTGAGTATTTATCTATGTATGTCCTTTATTATCGTTGAGTATTTATCTATGTATGTCCTTTATTATCGTTGAGTATTTATCTATGTATGTCCTTTATTATCGTTGAGTATTTATCTATGTATGTCCTTTATTATCGTTGAGTATTTATCTATGTATGTCCTTTATTATCGTTGAGTATTTATCTATGTATGTCCTTTATTATCGTTGAGTATTTATCTATGTATGTCCTTTATTATCGTTGAGTATTTATCTATGTATGTCCTTTATTATCGTTGAGTATTTATCTATGTATGTCCTTTATTATCGTTGAGTATTTATCTATGTATGTCCTTTATTATCGTTGAGTATTTATCTATGTATGTCCTTTATTATCGTTGAGTATTTATCTATGTATGTCCTTTATTATCGTTGAGTATTTATCTATGTATGTCCTTTATTATCGTTGAGTATTTATCTATGTATGTCCTTTATTATCGTTGAGTATTTATCTATGTATGTCCTTTATTATCGTTGAGTATTTATCTATGTATGTCCTTTATTATCGTTGAGTATTTATCTATGTATGTCCTTTATTATCGTTGAGTATTTATCTATGTATGTCCTTTATTATCGTTGAGTATTTATCTATGTATGTCCTTTATTATCGTTGAGTATTTATCTATGTATGTCCTTTATTATCGTTGAGTATTTATCTATGTATGTCCTTTATTATCGTTGAGTATTTATCTATGTATGTCCTTTATTATCGTTGAGTATTTATCTATGTATGTCCTTTATTATCGTGGAGTATTTATCTATGTATGTGCTTTTTAAATCGGAGCAAACAGCACAATGAAGAACTTGAGAATAAACAAATGTACCAACTTTGAGCCAGTCTACTTTTCTGGTGTCAGATGTCTTTGTATGGTTAGTAATGAGCTTGACCAAGTCTGTATTTTAAATGACAATATATAAAAAAAAAAAAGGGTTAAGAAGTTTCATATAAGCATCTTATTCTTCAATAACCTAAGAGAATACATATAAAACAGTATAGTCAGTTGTGAGTTTGTACCAGCCTACCTTTCAAATGTCATGGTGTCTGAGTGTTTGATGGAGAGCCGTATGCTGCCCTGGCTGAAGTCTGGGTAGACCTCTTTGATGATATACTGTAATGCAGCCCTGTAGCAGTGCAACTTCAGACTAGGCGGGTTGGCTGGCAATATAAGCACACTACATATTCAACTTGGTGTACAAGTGAAAAAAAATGCATCCCTCCATAGACCCTCAACGTTTTTATCTGAACTCACATTGAACAGTTCCTGTCAGAAGACACTTGTTGTAAAATAAAGTTGAATATCTTTATTCATTTTAATTCACATTTAACAGTAGGCACATACTCAAGTTTCATTGAAATCCAAATATATTTAAGAAAGTTAACTTACAGAGTTTTTGCTAACCCTCCTTGCCCCTATATCCCCACGCGGTAGCTAGGCCACAGCCATGGCATGTTGCAAATATAAGACACAAGTTAACATAGACAAACAAACAGAATAGCTGGTATGTAACATGGGTGGAAAAATGTAACAGCCAGACCAGTGTTCAAACCTCGGACCTCCCAACTTTTGACCGACACTCCAACAATCTGGTCGTCAGCAATTAATCAACCCTGTTCAGTTTTGGCACAGGTACACCGACAACCCAAGCATTGTTTTGAAGAATTCTCAAAAATTCATAATGAGTTCTTTAACATACCAATCAGACATTTAATTAAACATAGTTACCAAGGAGTCTTTCTTTGTAAGAATCTGCAAAATGACATGCCATTGCCCTGGCCTCGAAGCTCAGATGATTGTCTTTGAGATTCGCAGTGAACTGGCTCATTGGATATCCCAGGTCACCACTGTCCTCATCTGCTCCCCTGAAATATTTATTGAACGTTCATAGGATTAATTTGTTTTGGTTTTACAGCTATTAACAGCTATGGTAATTTAAGAAGCCAGGTCATGGTGGTCGAGGAAAATCAGAGTATCTGGAGATAAGCCAGTGACATGCAGCCAGTACGTACAATCAGATTGAAAGAATTAACCTTGAATGATCTTGGCTTTGCCAGTTAAACCGAAAATAGTACACATGTCCACCTCTTATGAAATAAAACAACTTCTTAAGGTTTGGTGAGGATGAGATTAGAAAAAGTGAAGTTTTGGGAGCAGAAATGAAGTTGTTGATGACTGGACAGATAGATTGATAAGATGATACCATCCTTTTGGCCGGTCATATAATAACAATAACATACCCCTCTCTACAGGACAGCTTCATATAACAGCATGCAACAGAGGCCACACCAACGATATCTGGACACTGGGCGAAAATCCTCAGCATGGTGGGGGTCAAATCACCACAGGCATGGAGACCAGTCAAGACAAACTGGGATAGATCCCGGACACAATTGATACCTGGTCCTGGTTGTGTTACTTTGGTATCAACACTATCAACAGGAGAGTTTATACAATCTGTCTCAATGTTTTGTGATCTCGGTGAGTTTGTCTTTTCTGATTTCAAATGTTTTGAACACATTTTTGAATTTGGTGATCTTGACCCTGTTGACATATTTGAAGGATCTTGATTTGGCACTCTTCCTTGGCCTTCAATATCTAAAACATCAGTCTGTTTTCTGTAAGAGTCCCTGACCACTTCTAAAAACTTCTCCGCACTTGTTCCTGGTTGGATGAGACAGGTCACATGATCAGGCAGTGAGGTTGTGTTGCTGGCTGTAGTGTCCTCTTTGCTACCATCCACTGAAGCTTGTTCCTGCTCTGTTGGATGTTTTCGCTGTTAAAACAAATCAGAGTTTACAAATCAAAGTTTACAAATCAGAGTTTACTGTGAGAAATATTGTATAAATTGGCCAACATGAATTAAGTATGAAGAATAAAAATTTCCTCCATGAAAGAATACTTGGAAAACTTCTTTTTTCTTACCTTTAACTTTCTGTGTATTTTCTTTTGAATGTCTCTGAAAAATAAATGTCCAAGTAAAAACAGCAGCACTTACAGACACAGAACAGGTACTTTTTTCTCTTTTTTTCGTAGTTACTCGCAAATTATTTATCATAACTCATTCATAGATACAAGTTTGAACCATTTAGCAAAAGGATAGCAAAGTTTAAGCTTATGAATGACACACTATAAGGAGTTTTTTCGTCACTATCTTACTTATCCATTTTCTCTGCTTTGGGTGCATGGCAGCCTGCAGCTTCTACTGTGGTGACTTTGAAGCCGTGACCGAAGGCAAGCAGTCTGGACAGGTGTCCCTGGCCCGCCCCGACGTCTACCACATGGTCACAGCTACACCCACTCCCCAACAACTGTATCGCCTGCGGAATTTATAACGTGTCGACTCAATTGATATGTATCACACAGAATATATACAAATAGAATATTACTTTTTTCTTGAAGGATAACAGTTTTAGTTCATTGAGAGGGGTTAATACTTTTTCATATTTCATGTGAGTGAATATTACGGAAAGTGTATAAAATATTATGTAATTTATACTGATCAAGAAATTTTTCTATCTATCGCATATTATTGAATATGCAAGAGCATATTGCCAATGGTATGCCAAGATAACAAGAGGCCCCGTGGGACTGTATCGCTATTAATCAGTGGCGCTGGCTAACACATCTTAAAAGTGATCTTTAAAAGTGGAGTTAGGTCAAATTTATTGAAACAGACGTGATAAAAATCATGCTAACATTTGCATTAGGTTATTGATATTACTCTGCCCCCTATGGATCTATGTTGTGAGATTTCAACTCATTTTATTCTCTATTAATCAAATTATGCAATCATCACCCTAGATCGTCTAAGGAAACTTTATGGACGGTGAGCTTGAAACATTTTCTCCAAAAATCTTTGATGCAATGAGGACTTCAGGACTGCATCTTAGCTACTTGTATGGAAGGCCGGTCTGTAAACCATCAAATCTGCCCATGACAGGCATGAATCACAGAGCAGAGACGTCAGTGACTCAGAATGGGCAAATAATTAATACAACAAGGCTAGGATTCTGTGTCAGCAACATTTGATGGGAAACATTGCATAGCAAGATCTTAATGTGAGGGACACATGGCCAATACCTTTCCAAGTTGTAAGATCTCATGTTGTTTTTTTGGTTTAACATGTGTGCGAAAGCAGGCGTTAAGTGGCAGGTATTGTCCAAATTGGATGTCAGCCCTGGCCTTTGTCTGTGTTGTGACACCAGAATGAGGTGAAACTACAGCCTTCCTTTCTTTGTCTTTATCTAATGGAAAGAGTCCTTCACCAATCCCTTTATTCTCCAGATCCACTTTTTGTCGGTCCAAGGACAGAGCATGTGTAGATTCTCTAAATGCTAGCAAAGTCAAAGGAAGGTCCTTCCTAGAAAATGTAACAACAAATGAAAGATATTTCAGTATGACAAAATCAAAACCTCTGAGCTGTTGTAAGATTTTCATCATTTTCAAAAATAAATACCTGAATTCCATTGGTTGATGTTTCTGAATTCCATATGCACTGGTACACTAAAAACTAGACCAGAGGTTTTATTTCCTGTTTTATCTCATTATTTGTACAATATATTGCAAACTTTTAATATAAATTCTATTATCATCACAGATTAATACAAGAGATGGTATACAGTGTAAATCACAACTGAACTACATGTACTTCCAGAGTCTTGAACAAGAGGCCCAGTAAGCCACACCATTCAATTATACAAAATTGAGTCCCACCCACTGACCCAAGGATGCTCCAGTACAATTAAAGTTAAAATTCCTTTACCGATACTCTGGGATTAGAATTTTAAAGATTAACATCTTTTTCCAATTTTGGGCCAATACCCCTCTTCCCCGAAGAGGACCATATCTTTCACATATACCAAGTGTTGTCCCCTCATTAGCCTTTTATTGCTCGTCATCAAAATTTGTAAAAAAAAATCAGCTATTCTATAATGGTAGGCATTTTAGTAAAAAAAATGACAAACAGACAATGACAGACGATGAACGTTGCATCACAGCATAAGCTTACTTGCATGCGAGTGACCTAAAAAAGACACTTTAATATATTTTTTTCCCAGAAATTTTCCACGGGCAGGTTAAGCCTTTAACCGGTATCTTGCTATTATACTTGTCTAACCTGTCTGCTCCTTTAGTATATCAATATACAATTATTAATTCCTCATACCATGTCTTATTTTATCTAGAGTCAGGCTGCTTTTATATAAATATCATGAGCCTTCAAAATCTTCTCCGTTACATGTCATTCACCCATTGTCATCATGTGTATTACAAAAGCAGCCCCCCTTTGAATGGAGTCTGATGTCAAGTATTAAATATGTACCTGTTTGGAATCGGCAGTGAGGAGTCAAGAAGGAAGGCCAGATCAAGTGAGTCTAGCTGTGATAACCCCTCTGTCCACCCCTCCGGAAGTCTATCCCACAATCCATCAGTGAAAAAATCCTGTCAATAGAACTGAAGTATGAACATAATGCCTATTATTTTATGTCCAATATAACAGAAGTGTATTAATATTCACAATATAATGCAATAATGATGCAATTGTGTAAATCACTTACCACTACAATATCACATAGAATATTTCCATCCACTACTGATGTTACCTTGCAACATATGAAATCAGAGATGTATATACATTACATACATCTCTGATGAAATACCTGCAACATGATCCTGATTATTGCCAGAAATTGTAAACAAGTCAGGTGGAATAAAAATATACAAGAGTCTGACCAGGATTCCAATTGGACCGTAGACATTTATGTCCAATGCTGCTGCAGCTGTGTCAGTATTAGAATTGGACCGTAGACATTTACGTCCAATGCTGCTGCAGCCGTGTCAGTATTAGAATTGGACCGTAGACATGGGCGTCCAATGCTGCTGCAGCTGTGTCAGTATTAGAATTGGACTGTAGACATTTACGTCCAATGCTGCTGCAGCTGTGTCAGTATTAGAATTGGACCATAGACATTTACATCCAATGCTGCTGCAGCTGTGTCAGTATTAGAATTGGACCGTAGACAGTTACGTCCAATGCTGCTACAGCTGTGTCAGTATTAGAATTGGACCGTAGACAGTTACGTCCAATGCTGCTACAGCTGTGTCAGTATTAGAATTGGACTGTAGACATTTACGTCCAATGCTGCTACAGCTGTGTCAGTATTAGAATTGGACTGTAGACATTTACGTCCAATGCTGCTGCAGCTGTGTCAGTATTATAATTGGACCATAGACATTTACATCCAATGCTGCTGCAGCGGTGTCAGTATTAGAATTGGACCGTAGGCATGTGCGTCCAATGCTGCTGCAGCTGTGTCAGTATTAGAATTGGGCCGTAGACATGTGCGTCCAATGCTGCTGCAGCTGTGGCAGTATTAGAATTGGACCGTAGACATGTGCGTCCACTGCTGCTGCAGCTGTGTCAGTATTAGAATTGGACTGTAGACATTTACGTCCAATGCTGCTACAGCTGTGTCAGTATTAGAATTGGACCATAGACATTTACATCCAATGCTGCTGCAGCGGTGTCAGTATTAGAATTGGACCGTAGGCATGTGCGTCCAATGCTGCTGCAGCTGTGTCAGTATTAGAATTAGACCATAGACATTTACATCCAATGCTGCTGCAGCTGTGTCAGTATTAGAATTGGACCGTAGACATTTACCTCCAATGCTGCTACAGCTGTGTCAGTATTAGAATTGGACCATAGACAGTTACCTCCAATGATGCTGCTACAGCTGTCAGTATTAGAGAGGAAGCACTGGGACTCCATTGCATCATTTCAAGTCAGAAGAAAAATAATTGTTTGAATTTTGACAATTTTATGCAGTGGACGGTTTTGTAGAGACAAAATTGTTTCCAATGTAAATAACCTGTCCATATCACACTCAATTAATGTAATTGTGTCATTTTCCATACCTGTCAACCTCTCAGCATACAAATCAGGGTGATGACCCTCTTTGGGGATTTCAAATCAAAGTCATAACGTGTAACGTCATTTTCACCCTCTTTTGATATACTACCGGTGTCATGCATAAAATGTACCTCCTGCTTAAATAGTATCCGGATACTTTTTATGCAGAATAAAAAGTATCCGGATACTTTTTATACCCCTACCAAAAAGTACCCCCCCTGTATAAAAAGTACCCCCCTATGAAAAAACCAGATGTTTCAAAAAATTTAATCAATAACAGTTCAGAAGTTGATTAGAAGGTTACAGTTGCATGTTTATTCACCCCTACCCCACCAATACCCACCCCGGGGCCAGGAAATTATGCCAATTTTTTTTTTAAACACTGGACACAATAAGGTTTTGGGACTCAAGTAGAAACATTTACATTTATGTTATAGTCATTACCCAACCTTTATTTAATTCCCCACCCCCCGGATACTTTTTATACACCCGACCAAAATGTACCCCCCGGATACTTTTTATACCCTGACCAAAAAGTACCCCCCTATAAAAAAATGATTTTTCTCTTTTTTTTTTATCCAATTGAGTTCAGAACTTGAACAGGACATTACAGGGGAATATTAATCCACCCCTACCCCACCAATCCCCACCCCCGGGGCCAGGAAATGATGCCAAAATAATTTTTAAACACTGGTTTGGAGAGTCATGAAGAAACATTTACAGTTATGTTATAGTCATTACCCAACCTATATTCAATTCCCCACCCCCCGGATACTTTTTATACACCCGACCAAAATGTACCCCCGGATACTTTTTATACCCTGACCAAAAAGTACCCCCCTATGA